ACTGTTTACCACTGATCAATAAATTATAATAATTTTAATGATTTTCCCAACAGGTATTGGTCCAGATGGTCATATTGCCTTCAATGAACCGGGGTCAAGCCTGGTATCCAGAACTAGAGTGAAGACATTAGCGATGGACACAATATTGGCTAATGCTAGATTCTTTGAAGGTGATCTTTCCAAAGTGCCCACAATGGCTCTCACAGTTGGAGTGGGTACAGTCATGGATGCCAAAGAGGTTAGAAGCCTAATAATTACTTATAGAAAAGAGGCAGAAGTGGGATAGGGAACAAGGACTTTGTCTGAAAAGAGGAATTCTAGCTTATTCAGTATTATAGAATACTGGACTTGGAAAAGACCCTGTTGGCCATCTAGTCCAATGCCTTCTCAGAACATGAATCTAAAATAAAGTGTCCCCTATAATTTACTGTGCAGCCTCACTTGAGTAGATCCAGCAAAGTGGAGCTTATTTCAATAATCATCTGCAATATCAAAATGTTCCTACTATTGGGAAGTTTTTCTTACATTTTCAACCACAACCTACCTTCCTAAAACCGGAATTCTAAATTCTTCTCTTTTTGCATTCCTGGAAAATGGAGAATCTTTATCTTCTGTGTTATATCCTTTCAAGTATTTGAAGAATGCACTGGCCATCTTTTCAAGGTCTGCATTTCCATTTCTTTTTAATTTTGTACATAGAACTTTCTAATCTGTAATCCTCACTGCGCTTTAAATCTGTTGCGGTTTGTTGGAATGTGTGTTGGTACTTAATATGGGAGTATATTTATTTCAAAACAAATCCTTTCCCATTTAGGTATAGGTCTTGTAGTGTGTTAAAGTTCTAACTGGCGCATGTTAACAATGCATGTTAACATTGAACATGATCCACAATTTAGAGAATTTCCTTTGGACCCTTTCTCTGATATTTGTAGTGAAAGATATAAACTGGCTCTGTGCCTAGCGATGACTATAAATGAACTGCTTTTCTGATATTCCCAAACTTATTTCTTGTTTGTTTAATTGCAAGTTTCATTTTCTGTTGTATAATAAAGAAGTTAAATCTATGGAAGATAACAAACTTACCAATCATATAGTACTTGGTTAGAACACAAAGCCTCTGAATGGAATTTTGCTGTTTTACAAAATTCCAGGTAAAAAGCTAAGTATATAAAATATTAGATTCATTATAGTAGTATGTAATCAGTTAATACACTGACACCATTTTTAGGACCTTGGAAATAAAGCAGGGATTTTGCAGACCTCTTAAAGGCTTCTGAAATGATTACTTATAGCTCAGTGTACTGTCGTTGTTGGTAGATAAGGGCAAGAGAATTGATACTCATCCTGATTTTTTTTTCTGATTTCCATTTTTACTGAACTGATTAGCTATAACTAGTTTGGTAAGTCTGTTAGACAAATAAATTCACCAGCTTCTAATTCACCAATGTTTATTAGTCCAAATGTTCTTGCATAGTAACACAAGACTCTTGGAGAAATATCTTCTACTTAAAGCACACAGACTCTGTACAATTCATAAATTAGCTCCTAGTAGAACTACAGATTATAAATTGAAATAACTAAAAGCAAGCTGCCTTTTACAAGCATAAATCCTTTCGCTTTTGATCTTCATATTTTTTTCTCAGATTTTCTGTAAAATAGAATTCTACATAGCTCTAATGGTTACAATATCTTTGAATTCGCTTGAAGAAGTCGTGATGTTGATAAAATATCATTGGATATTATAACTTATTTCTTCTTGTAAATATTAGTGTCCAGACCATCTAGTTCTCCTTTTTTTCCAACCTGAAATAGTTGAGAATATCAAGGACCATTTAGTACGGTATTTATGATGCTTGCCATCAAAAGCCTAATTGTGTTTCCTGTATGTCATGTCATTCAGGTTATGATTCTGATCACAGGAGCCCATAAAGCATTTGCATTATACAAAGCAATTGAAGAAGGGGTGAACCACATGTGGACTGTTTCTGCATTTCAGCAACATCCACGAACCATATTTATATGTGACGATGATGCTACTCTGGAGCTTAAAGTAAAAACTGTGAAGTATTTTCAAGGTAGAGTGTTGTGCGAATCTAAGAAATAGTCTATAAATGTTTAGAATATAAAAAGGCATGAACGCAGCAGTAATGTTTGGCAATTCACATCTACAAATCGTGATGCAAAAATCCTCCATGAACCTGGTACCTCTTTTGGCCGCGGTTAAAGTGTGGTATTAGGAATGCAAATACGATTTGGGACTGTCATGCTTTAACTGCCAGGAGTACCTTGGAAGATTTTAACTTGTAAAGCAAACTGGTCTTATTGGTTTCTCCATTATTTCTTGGCATCAGAGGTCATTTCCTTATTGAATAGTTCCTCGTAAGTCTGTAGTTGCTTTTGGCTTATTTAGATTAACATTTTCAGTATTGCCCTTCCATCTTACCCTTTTTGGAAGTCAGATTCTTTATTTTCTCAACCTGCTCATTTTTGCCATTTTAAGTGAAATGTTTGTATCTTTAATCCACCCACACCCAAGCCTATCTTCTCTTTAAATATTCTTGAGCCAGAATTCAGTTGAAAGGAAGCTTTAAATAGATGAAAAGATAAGGAAAAACAGCAAGGAACAGCTCAGGAATTCTGGGAGTTGAAGACCATGAGTCATAAAAGAGCCAAAGTTGTCTACCCCTGACCTAAGTCATTAAATGCATAAAAAAGAAACAAGGGGCTATTTGTGCCACCTCTCTAACAATTCCAGTATAGATGTGGGCAAAAGTTCCACTGAGCCACCACAATCATTTTCTTGTATCCAACAATGAACAACTAAATATCTGCAGGAAGATGTTAAACAGGTATGATATTACCAGATTTCTGAAACTATTGCTGGCTTCTCATATTATGCTCAGGTGCTGCTTTTCTTAGCCAGCACATTAACAGTCATCTTTACTGTTAATGCAGGAGCTTGCAGGTGGTTGTTTATAAAATAGTCTCCTCAATCGTTGTCAGTCTTGGAATTGAAGTTCAAAATACTGTGTCTTCTGGTTCCACTTCATTCTATTAGCAATGGGAAATATAGATATCTATTCATATTATTGTACACTTTGGAGTGCTAGACAATGGTATGGGGCATGACATAGAGATTCTCCTAGCTAAATGATCCTCAACATTTTGATTATGTTAGATTTGTGTCTTGCCTTTTTTCCCCTGCAAGAATTCAGAGTAGCAGTCACAATGGTTTCCTTGGCTATTCCTCAAATAGTAACCCTTACAAGGTAGTCTGGGCTGGGAGATACCAGGAGACCTAAAGTAATCCATAGTGTTTCCATGACTGAAGGAGTTGTTGAACTTAAGCCTATCCAGTCCTAGCTGCGTGTCTAATCCACTCCTTCACCTTGGTGCCTTATCTCAGAATATAAAGATTGTATTTTCCTTTTCTAGACACAACGTCGAAAAACATTAAAAGGAAAAGAATTAAAAACAGAGAATGTTGTAGTGATGCTAGTCTGCATCAGAAAGAAACAGTCATCAGCGTCGGGGAAGGCACATAAAGCAAAAGCAGATACCAAGCCTCTCCCTTTCCAGAATGAAGAAAAGCTATTTAAAAAAAAAAGTCAGAACACTGGGGAAATGGAGAATTGATGTGCCTGACTTGGCTGCATTATCTCCCCAGAGTGCCACATTTTAAGAAATCACGTTCTGCTTTTACTAATCTACTGCAAAAAATTGAAAGAGGGTGAAACTAAGCAATAAAGGAAGTAAAAAAAAAGAATGCATATTTATAGATACATACCCATATCCTCTGAAATTCAGGCTATATCTAAAAAATAGATACAAGCAGGTTAATTTGGGGGGGGGAAGGGGGCTGTGCTTCAGTCCAGTGTTTCTTGTGCCTTGGTACAAGCTCTGTGACTGTATGTACTTCATTTTGTATGCATATATCAACAAATATATTTTTTCTAAACTCTTGACCTTTTTTCATGAGGAATTTTTGATGCTCTGTAAATCGTGAAGCCTGTGGACTCTGTAATAGATAAAGTGCTGCTTTGTGGTCTTCTGAATTGGTTTTATAAGGTTAATATTCTAACCTTTAAAGTGATTTTATATTGGGGGTTTTGTTTAACAAAGTTTTCTTTTTCTGTATCTCAATAGATTGTCCTATGTCTGGTATCCCTAATCATATATCTCTATTTTCTGTGAAGTGGTACTGTAGCCATAATTTCATTATTTCATTTTTATATGCCAGATATATAGCCACCTGTGGGAGTTCCTCCTCCCAGTGCACACACTTGCACATACAAAGTTAAGGATAGGATACTAGGTTAGACATCTTCTTGGAATATGGGTGATGGAGTAGGAACTATCAAGTTGCTACTGATACCAAAGTACAATAGGCAGGGTTGGGGGAGGAAAGTTTGAAGTATCCAGCCCACTATCCCACAGATTCAAATATACTTGGTACAAGGGTAAGTTATTACTTGATAAAACATGACATTTATATAAGCACTGAACTATTTTTGTTTCATTTAACCAGGGTTGATGCTTGTTCACAACAAACTTGTGGAACCGCTCTACAGCATGAAAGAAGTTGGAGCAGAAAGTCAATCTGAAAAAGCTTACAGTGACTAACTAGCCTCTCTGAGCAACTGGCTAAGTTGATCTTTCTGGTAGCATTACAAGAAGTTGGTGAAGAGCAAAACTTTTAATATACAAAATACAGTATTGGACTCAGTTACTTGAAAAGCATCTTTTTTTTCCACCAGGTGCAGGAGTAAGAGTGGATGCAACTGCATCAAGCAATTTCAAGTAATTTGGGGCTAATCACACACCGGTTCCTCGCTGTTTTAACAATTTAGACCAAATGAGGTAACAGCAACCCCATTTTCTAAAAATATGGGTTTAAAAATTTCCAGGATGGAGATTTCAACATTAGATTATGTGTAGTGAAAAAAAATCTGCAGGCTAAGAACTTTTCATTAATTTTTGCATATTAAACACACAAATGATTATAAACAATTTGGGGTATATTTATTTTGTAAGAATTGGATTTCATGAAAATGTAGCCTTTTCAGGAACTGAAAAAAACAAACAAATGAAAAGCACTCTTTCACCTCAACTCTTAATGTGGAAATATCAGACTTCTCTAAGGTGGTAAATTATGTATTGTGGGGAAACCATCCCCTCTTTGTTCTTGTTCTCCATTATTATCCAAGTCACCTTTTCCCAATCTGACGGACTTTTGCTAGAAATTCTGTGAATTATAATTCAGTCTGGAAGGTAATACAGTGGGAAGCTTCTAAGAGTGCAGAAAGACATACTGTTCTCTTCCTTCTCTGTACTCTAAGTGGCCAGTAGAAGGGTTCTTGGCATTTGGGCCTGCATTAAAAAAAAATTCATTGGCTTCCAGTTTGTAATGGAAGTTGAAATACTAACTTTTATCTATAAAAACCCCAAAGTTGGTAGGAATATTGTATTTCCAACTTCTATATATATATATATAAAACCATAGAGTTCATGCTTAACACACTGCAGATAGGAAGAGCAGACAATCTCATGTCACCCTGGCCTAAAATTATTTCTTCCCGATTTCCTCTGGGCAAGCACATTTTTTTTTTTGCAAATTTGAATGTCGCAAACAAGGGAGATGATCAAACAATGGATCTTTCCAAGAACTGACTTGCCCACTGACCTCCAACAGTACTGTATTTTTGTGGAAACTGAAGGATAGATACAAAATGTCTGTTACAGCTAAAGGCAGCCATTTGCAAATACCTGTTTCTCAGACAAACTAATAAGGCCAGAAGACCAGTAATTTGTCCACAAATGTGATAGGGTACTGTAGATGCCTCAAAGTACAGACGCGTTATTTGCACCTAGTATCTTCTTTTTCATTGAACCTTGCCTTTTAAACTCCATTTTCCATCCATGTCACGATAATCAGTACCCAAGAGACTCTCAGGCACCATCTTATCCATGCTAACATGATAAAGTGAATTATCGAAGAATTTCAGGGCCTGGAGAAATCACATGTTTCTACTATACACTTTGCTCCTTGGACAAGGACAGCAAACAATTGCTTACATTCCACTGCTTTCCACTTGGAACAGTTTTAGTGATAAAGGTGCTAACTAAAAAAAAAACACACTGTGAAATTTTAATGTCCTTCTTTAAATGTTCAGTGCTTTTGAAAATTAAAAGATAACATCCATGAAAATAGTGTTAGCGAACAAAAGCAGTTTTTCAGCTAATTTGAGCTGATTTCTGGTGTCTCATTTGTCAACAATCAAAGTAACTCGAACATGCATGGCACATCTTCATTTCTTTATCTTTTGATTCTGGCTAAAAATAATCATCCTCTTCATTCCAAAATTATTCATCAATTTCCATCATTTGAAATAGCCTGAAAGACAAGAAAATGGAGTTAAAACCAAGAAAATATTTTCCCAACATGGTAACAATTCATGCACATATTTCTGTGTAAAGCTTCTGTCCAAAAGAGTAGCAGAATCACGTAGCAAAACTAAGGAAGTTCATTTTCAAAACTAGATTTCTACACAACTATGCAGATTTTATTTGTAATATCAGAAAGTAATGAATGTGCTGTTAAAAAAAGAGAGTATTCCTCTCCATTTTCAGTAAAGAGAATAACAATCTTACGAGTACTCAAGCAATGACTTATCAAAAAAATGATAATGTTAAAAGATCTGTGTGTTCACAAGAACTGTCAACAACACTGACATGGAGGATGTGACTAAATGCCCTGCTGCTGCTGCTGCTATGTGTGTGTACGTGTGTGTGATGCATGCATCACATATTAAAAAGGTATAGGGTTCTAAGTGCCTGGAGATACCCTTGTGATGTTGTTGATGGCTCTTATAGCTACTCCTGTTTTCCAAACTGTTTTGTGACCCCAATAGAGGAGAATATTGTAGCTCAGGGTTGAACTGTGGGTCTTTGATGCTCTTCAAGCTTGCTTGTTTTCTTGCAGACGTTTTGTTACTCAAACTAGATAACATTATCAGTGCTAGTAGGGAATGGGGTTTGCTCTCATAATAATAAACAGCCCAATCCAAAAAAAACCCAAGACCACTCCTACAAACATTGACAATGAGAGAAACCCCCATTCCCTACTAAGTACTGATGATGTTACCTGATTTGAGAATGAAACGTCCGCAAGAAAACAGCCAAGCTCAGAAAGCACCAAGAATCCCTTATTTTGTGACATTTTGATTTAGCCAGCCTACTAAAGCTATGGAATTTGGCTTCAGCATTAGCTTTTGGCACAAACTTAAATACTACAGTAGTATTATTTAAAATTTGATTAAATATTAAATGTTGGTAGGGAATCTGTTGCGATGCTAATGAAAGTATATTGTATTTTGGATCATGCTAAGCCATGGTTTAATCAGTTATTACTGGGTTTACTCTAAGTAAAGAAAACCACACAAGTCACATTATGGATTAGTTCAATGTATGAACCCAGTCTTATTGAACATGCTATTTTCCAATGAAAAGTCCCATATCAAATTTCAAAGCAGTCAAAACAGTTTGAATGATTTTTAGTTTCTGCAACATCCTTGCCTCTTGCAGACAAAAAGGTACACATATTTCAAAGGTTTTTGTGTTATGCGTAATTGTTCAGCAAACTCTTTAACCAGCATGTGGAATAAGCTCCAGACTAAATAGCATTCATTTTATTAAACTGTTTTTCAAATTTAGCTGCTTTTAAGAAGTGTGGATTTCAATTCCTAGAATTCCCCAGTCAGGATGTTGAAGTCTACACATCTTAAAACTACCAAATTTGAAAAATGTTGATCTTTTGTTTTGCTTACTTTGTAGTAAAACATCCCAAAGTCTTCTAGAATGCAAACCCTATTAACCCCTGTAAACCCAGACCTACAGCGAAGCTCCACTTTTCTTTCAGTGGAGAAAAAGGTTACTTACAGATTAAAGCATGGTGAGCCTGGATCACTAAAGTGCTTGTATGGATTTATCCTTGATAAAGCACGCATACAAAGCCAACAGAAATATTGCATGCAAGCAGTACACCTCATCCTGTTACAGCCATTTAACTTCTGAAAAAAAGAGAAGGAAAAAAGACAAGTTGACCTGAAATCTGCATTATAAATGCACTGTACCTTGCTAAATGGAAAATAAAAGATGTAGAGGCTATTCCCTTGTACTATCTACAACTCAGTATTCCTAACATTACAATAATTTATGAAACTGCAGTAGCAAATGCTGCTGACTGCTATAAGAAAGAGAATTCTGCCTGCCTTTTCTAAATAGCTGAAGCACTCAATGGGATTTTTTAAAATACAGGTAAGTCCTTGACTTATGACCACAATTGAGCCCAAAGTCTCTGTTGCTAGGCGAGACAGCTGTGAAGTGAGTGTTATCCCATCTTACGATTGGTTGTTAAGTGAATCACTGTAATTATTAAATTAGTAACACGGTTAAGTGATTTATTTTACAAAAGGTGATCACATGACCTCAGTACACTACAATTGTCATAAATATGAGTCTGTTGCCAAGCGTATGAATTTTGATCATATGACTATGAGGATGCTGCAACAGTTATAAGTGTGAAAAACCATCATGTCGCTTTTTTCAGTGCCATTGTAACTTCAAATGGTCACTAAATGAACTGTTGTAAGTTGAGGACTACCTGTACAGTGTTCCATAGTATTACAAAAGTGGAGTTTCAGAAACAACAAAGAAAAATCCATTGTCAATAGTCTTTTATTCTTAGCTGCTAGGAAGTATGTCAGCAGAAGTTACATAAACTGATATGGGAGCTAATGGGTGTTATGTGTTTGTGGGTATCTCTGTATGTATAAAAGACAGGTGTCCAGACTTAATTTTATCACAAAGAGCAGTATTTGAAAACCAATATGAGAACATTCTCCGAAAAGTTTTTCCAACTTTTAATTGGCCATTCTTAAACTAAGGAAAGAGCAATTTTATTAAATGAAAAACTTAATTTCAAAACTATAACCTGTGGAATGAATTGAGAAAACTGAATTGAAAAAGTGAATTTTAATTCCCTTCAAGATTATGTTGTGTTACTGAAAAATGCTTTGTAAAATGTAGATACATTTTAGTTCTTGGTCCGATTTAACATTTTTTCCAGCAGTTTCCAACTAGTTCTATTGCTGGTTACATAATGACCTATCTGGAACAATATATTTGTAGTGTTTTTGTTTCAGTTTAAGACAGGTATTTCTAGTTGTTAAGAAACGACCTTCTTACCACCTATAGGTTTTTACCACAGGAAAGGACAATTCAAATCCTGTCATTCCCAACACAACCAAAAACTAATCTATGGAGATGATCCCAGCCTATAGTCAGGATTAGACTAAACTAAACTAAACTAAACTAAACTAAAAAATTGCTATCCACAGGAATTCAAAGGTGAACCACAATTCTTGCTCCTGAAAAGCTAAACTAACATCTCTTGAGTCTCCAGAACATTTTTCATTTGTGTCCTTCTTTGCTATGATCTCACCTCAATAGGAGTTCCACAGCAGGGACACGATTTGGAATTACATTCTAGCCATTTTTTACTTTCCATCTCCTCTAAGGCCTTTTGAATAACTCTTTTGCCATAGCGTTTCTCCCAAAATTGTTTTGTAGTTTGATCTGCTTCAAGATATTCATTGCGTAAATCTGCTAGCTTCTCTGCATTAAGAACAGAAAATGGCATAAAGTCGTACAAACATGTTTACCTGTTTCACAAAACAAGTATCATTAGTTTTGCACACTCATGCATTTCAACAAATAACAGTAGTACAAGAATAATATGGGATAGAATATTTTTTCATATTTTTCTTAAGAAAACTGAATATCAACATAGGTATCAAGAATTCACTTCATATAAAAAATGCTTTTACTAGAGGAGTCAAACCTACTACTTCAATATGTTTTAATAAATAAGACACTTCTTGTGTGAGTGCCATGGCAAGCTGATGTCTTGCTAGCTTTTGCTGGTTAGCAAAACGGTTTTTATGAGGCAAATCTCGACTACATGCTGGATCCAACCCAGCATAATTTCTCCAGAACAAAGGAGAGATGGTTGAGATCTCATGACTTCATGATTGAGAAAACTATTTTTCATGAGTAGGCTGCAGAAATTGCCATTTTTAGTTGTCTTATGAGTAGAATGGCTGGGAGTCGGGATTACATCAAGTTCATTACATCAGGCTGCTTTGCATAATCCAAAAACCCCATATATTTTAAAAAACCTTTACAATAAAATTTACACCATTCTTTACGCAGCAAAAGGGTGCTTAGTATTTGGATTTTGAAAAGTTAACAAGGAATTAATGGGCCAGAGGAATTTGAAATTATAGTTTTAAATTATTTAGAAGAATTTCTCATGGGAAAATGTCAATTGCTTTAGGGCAGGGGTGTCAAACTGCCGGCCCGTGGGCCGGACGTGTCATCCGGGAGCTGCGCCCACCCCATTGGCAAAACCGTCCCAATACGTTGTATGATGTCATATGACATCGCAAGTTTTACATGTCTGCTTTAGGGGTTTTTTTTATTATAAAGATACCTTGAAGGCTAGACACAAGAATCAGAGGACAAAATAAAATGGAGCAGAAATCCTCAGTGCAAAGTTTTGAATACCTCTGAGCCAAGCTTTTGCAAAGATATAAAAGAACTGTTAAGATTTGGAAGGACTTTATTAGAAGCAACAAACAAAAGGATCAATTTTACTTATTGATACAAAAGACAGCTGTTAAAGTTTTGAAGGATTATCGTTTTGAAACATAGATGATCAGCAAACTACCTCTAGAAGTTGTTGTTTTTTTAAATGGTCAAAAATAATTTTAAAATCTCAGGAAAGTTTATAAGATTGGCTTGTTTGACCAGGATTAAAAGAAGAAAGTAGTTATATCTGCCCTTACTGGACTTTTGCTGACAAAGATTAATGGATGTAGCATTTGGACTGTTTTCTTTATCTAAGAGATAAGCTATAGGCAGAAAAGAATTTATGCTTTATTTAGAAATTGTGATAAGCTACTAAAATTGTTTTTACCAACTGGGATGAAGGGAGAAGTTACTTCTTTTTTTTTAAATCTGCCCTTTATTTTCTTTTTCACCCTTTTCCTATTCCCCCTGCCTTTTCTTGTATTTATGTTTTTATTTTATGTAGTTCATATTAACTTTACATTTATAACTCTTAATAAAATTATTTTAAAAAAATATCTTTACTCAATAAAACATTCTACAATCCCTGTTCAATTAAAGAAGCAAAGAAATGAAAAGAGAAGAGAAATATCAAGAACTGTATAGTAGGATAGCTTTTAAGAATTTCAATTCTGACAGCTGCCAATTTTTGGTAACCGGTGTCTGCAATTTAAAATGTTAAATATTGTTTTCCCCTAGATAGAAGTATAGATAGTGACCCAATTATGAAATCAGAATGGTTAGAATGAAAATGTTTGGTCTGATTCGGAGGAGAGTGAATTAATTCTATTAAGCTCCTGAAGAATCTGAAGCTATTCAGGAGACTTAAATCATCTTTTTAATTTGTACCTTCTCAAACAATTTAAGAATTAGACTTATTTTTTTAAACTGGCTCTTAAATGTTCCATAGAATTAAGATAGTCATTTCTTCCTATTTTAAACAAACAAACAAAAAACTGGGCCACAAAATTTCATCAGTATAATCTTGAAATGCTCTTAGGAGGGCCACCTGCACCACCCACCATCATTCTGTGAGATTATTGAAGAGATTTTCACATCCAAAATAATGTTAATTAACTAGATTTATACCCCACCTTTCATTCAGAACCTCAAGGTGGCATAAGGAGTGCTCCCAAAAAGAACCCCGTGAGATAGGTTGGCATAAGAATCAATGTGTCCCTCTGTAAGTTTCACAACTTGATAAATAAATGACTCAAGAGTTATTCTGTGAAAATGTTTCCATGGCTGAGGAGAACCTGAGTTTCCTCAGTGCCAGCCCATCATTTTAAAAGTTTACTCTCCAACACTACACTAGCTTTCTTTATATAAAGTATAAATATTCAGAAAGCACTGAATGCAAGGTCCTTTATGGTTACTCACCTGCAGTAACTTTACATGGGGAAACTCCATGATAGGTCATTTTACACAAAGTGCAGAATGCGTAGTTACATCGTGAACAGATGCCCATTGTGCAAGAAGGATCCTGCATCACTGGGGTTTGGCAGCTTGGACGTGGGCAATAGACTACATCTGCCATCAAATCCAAACTTGACTGAAGCAGCAGGCGGTCATAAAGTGCAAACAGCTTCTCTTCCACCAGCTCTTTCACCTTCAAGGCAAGTGATGAAATACATTAGAGGACTTTGATGTAGTAAGATTTACCCTGTATTATATTTATGAAAATAATCTGACAGAAGAGTAAAAAGATACTAATCAATGGAACTACATTTAGACCTATCGCCTTACTGCAGAAGCCATAGCATTTACTCTCAGTTCATATCAAAACTGGAAGTGACTACTTTCTTATCAGTGTTCCACAATGCATATTTCTAACCCTTGGCTAATAACAATCTAAAGACTTGAAAGATTTAGAACGGACTCCAGAATATTACTGAATTAAACTGGGGCCAATTCATTACAGAATGTAAAAACATACATTTAACGCTAAGCTTAGACCAAAGTTCTAAAGTTATTGAAAAGTTAATTTACAAAATAAAGTTAATCCAGAAAATAATAAACCTTTGTCTACTGCAGGACAAACAACCTTACACCTGTCTGTTTTTATAAATTAGGTGAATACTAAAGCACTGGCCTAATTCTTTGAGATCCTAGTTCTGTGGTCATCTCTTTAAATACTTAACAGTATTAGCTGCCAGAATCATTTTGACAATAGAGATAGCCACTACTATAATTGGACATTAATATATCTTTAAGTAAGTCCTCGACTTATAACAGTCCATTTGGTGACCGCTGAAAGTTACAATGGCACTGAAAAAGTGACTTACAACTGTTTTTCACACTTACAACCATTGCAGCATACCCACGGTCACATGATCTCAAAATTCAGACGCTTGGCAACTGGTTCGTATTTATGATGGTGGCAGTGTCCCAGGGTCATGTGATTGGTCCCCTTTTGCGACCTTCTGACAAGCAACGTCAATGGGGAAGCCAGGTCCACTTAACAACCGTTTTACTAACTTAACAACTGCATTGATTCACTTAACTGGGGCAAGAAAGGTGGTAAAATGGGGCAAAATTCACTTAACAAACGTTTCACTTAGCAACAGAAAATTTTGGGCTGAGTTGCGGTTGTAAGTTGAAGACTACCTGTACTAGCTTTCCTTTCTGGAGAATGCCCATCTATTTTTATCCTCCAATGACAGGGCGGGATTCATACCATGTCTGACCCATAACTTTTCTTTTCTTTTACCTGCCCAGGAGTGGCAACAGATGAACATTGAGGTTCTGGACAATTCAGGCAATGGACCTGTCCATCTTTGATTTGAATTTCAAAATAGTTCTTTACGCAAATCTTGCAGTACACATGCCTGCAGTCTTTAAAGTCCATACATTCACTTCCCTGTTTTACCGAAAAACAGATATTGCACGTGAACATTTTACAGTTGAATTCCTTCTCTTTTTGGGACTGATCAAAGTCTAAAATTTCCTTAATCAGGATTGATAAAGATTCAACATCCTCTTCAGTAATTGCATTAGAGGATTCTCCATGTGCTGATGCAGCATCCTGGATGTCATAGCTAGCACCCTCTTCCTTTGGCTGTTTTTCTTGTTTGGTTATCTCTGGTTCAAAAGGGGAAGTGATATTCAGATAGGCCAGTGTCTCTTCTTTGAGAAATTGCATCCAGGCAAACAGGACTACAGAACCTCTGTTTTCTTCCCATAAGTTATCTAGGTTCCTGCAAAGAGCAGTCAGCTGGGGGAGGGGAGGGGAGAAACAGAAAAATATTATTTTCCACGAATCTTAAGTCGATGTTACTATATCCTTAAAGAAAGCAAGATTTCATGAAAAGAAACATCATTTTAATAGTACTGCAGCCATATTTAAAGCCCCATATGAAGCTGTTATCTGAACATTAGGGACTGCTATTTGTTGTTCGTCCATCGATTTCGATGACGACCTTGACATCTTGTGGGTTATGGGCCATCAACGATGTGTCTGTAGGTGGCTAATAAGTCTTATTAGGGACTGCTATACCCATAGAGATAAAACATAACTCCAAAAATTACTTATGTACAATTTCCAAATGAATACGCTATATGAATAACATTAAGGTTTTGAAGTCACAATTATTGACTTTATAATATAATTAAAAACAATTCACGAGAAGTTTTAACACGCATATTATTTTCCCTAGGAGCTAATCTGAATTTTAATTATGATGCTTCCTTTTAGCAGTCTTATTTCGGCTGCAACAAGATTGCCAATTGCTCACTAAAAAATATATGCCTTGTCATCCTGATAGACAATATAAATTACATGCTGTGTAAAAGATCTATGCCAAACCTGAGCCTGAGACAGCCACTTGCAATTGAGAGTGAACAGAGGTGGGGAAGTTGAAGGATAGTCTGCTGGGAATTCAAAATTCAGCACTACTGGAGGCAGAAAGCTTACTGCATATTCAAGCTTGCTGTTTTGAAGAGTCTCCGTGAATTTGCCTGAAAACAAAATTTATTTATTTAATTACTTATTAAATGTGTTTGCCACTCATCTTGCTGCAAGGCAACTCTGGATGACTTACAAATTAACCTGATCACGCAATTTCCAAGTCATGCTATTTAATTGAATGGTTCAATATTATGAGGACCCAGATTGTTGGGGGCAATGTAAATATATATATACATTGCTTACTGGTGTACACCGCTTAGAGAGTGCTTGCACTTAAAGCGGTATATAAGTCTCATAAATAAATAAATAAATAAATAAATAAATAAATATTTCCACAAAATCTTTCATTAGAAAAATTCCTGAAAACTGTTGCTTGAATTCAGGTACATTGAGTAAATGTGGCCTCCAAATGTAGTTAGACTGCAATCCTCATCCACTTTTTCAATACTGGTGATCTAGACTAGGTCTCATGGGAGGTGTTCAGCGACCTTTGGATGCTCATGTGTTGCCATTTCTTTGTATAACACAGAACCATCTGTGTTAGGGTTAGGACTAGTTGTCAATCACTTTCTTACCAATCATGGAAACAGATTCATCACAAGATTCATCACAATTGTCATGTAGAGAAAAGGATCTCGCATCTTCTGTTTCACAGATGGCATATCAAGAAATCTCTGGCTGACTCCTGAACGTTCAACGGTAACCCTCTTCACCCACTTCCAAAATCACTTTCACTTCCATCAAAATCAACTTGGGCTTGGATTTGGAGTTAGAAATACTTTCTTCTGGTCATGTTATTCTTGGATTGAATTACAATGTAAAATTGTCCAAAGTGTGTGCAAATGTAAATTCCTGCCTTGTACGTGTATGTATATATTCAAAGAGATAACTCTGAAATATATATACGGAAATATCACATGAACCAACTCCTACATTTTGCACAGACAAACATAAACTGTGGAACTAACTGTGGGAGATAGGTGGTTAGGATGAATGAATGAATGAAGGTATGTATGTATGTATGTAATGTTCCATACTTGGCAGTACAACACCTTTCAAGAAAACCAGATAACAAAAAGGAGTTGGGACTTACCACTCAGAGATACTCTGAAATTCTGAGGCACATCCACGGAGATTCGAGTTTCTCCTCCTTGTACATCTTGTGCTCTCTTGAATTCATCTTCATCATAAATACTTGCCAAAGCAAGAAGTTCGTCCTCCTGAGATTCTTTGTCTTCTGAAGACATTTAAACTATCTGTGAATGATAAACATATTTCTAGAATATGTTATGAAAACATCGTAAACGGAATAATCTGCTCCAGTCACTAAAGATAACTCATTGTTACTGAAATGGACAGCAGCAGCCTTCTGATTTGTGATTATCTTTTCATCTCAAATAAAGATTCCCTAAAACATTCAAAAGCTTTTACTTATTTTAAAAGTTAAACATTGTCTTTAAACAAAATTCAGTGCAATTGGTCTTAACTATGGAAGTTGAAACAAAATAACTTCAATCATCATTTATAAATCAGTTTAGCTTCAATTAATTATACTTAAGGAAGACTAAGGTTCCCATGCTAAACTATATTTAACAGAAATTAAAAGTTTCCAACATCTTCCTTGCAGCCTGGAGAGGGGAAGAGTTTAAAACCCAAGACATATGAAAATAATGATAAACAACTGTCTGTTGTTATGTTTGAACTAGGCTAATCTCATCAGGGATCTCACCTGAAAGCCCTCTTCTTCCTTACGAAATTTCTCCAGGATCCTTTCCTGTTTCTGATCAGTTCTTCATGGGAGTGCCACCCCTGCCATGAAATATAGTGAACAGAGAAAAATATTTGGTTCATACAGCATTACTTTAGAAATTAAATCAAATCTGTAATATTCTCTCAAATCTTTAAAAACTATTAGGACATGTCAAACTCGCAACGTCACGTGACATCGCACAACGTATCGGAACTTTTTCGCCATTGCGGCAATGGGGTGGGCATGATTTCCCGATGATGCGTCCGGCCGGTGGGCCAGAAGTTTGACACCCCTGTATTAGAATATACATTGTAAATTTACTAGTTTAGCTGATTTTTAAAAATTCTACCACTGCTACAACAGAACGGGTAGTTAGGACTGCGGAAAAAACAATTGCAACCAACCTGCCTTCCATTGCACAAGCCAGAAAGACGATTGAGAAAATGTCACATCCTGAACATAAACTCTTTCAATTTCTCCCCTCAAGACTTGACTATAGGGCAATGCATGCAAAAACAAGTCGATACAAAGACAATTTTCCCCCTTCCCTACTAAACACCTAATTCCCACAGCACTGTCTTATACCTAAGGATATTTACTCATGTAGTATGGCTGTATTACTATTATCCTTCTCACCTTTCCTATTACCTACTCCTATTGATATCTTATGACTATCACTGTTTGTATCTTATGATTTATGATTGTTATCTTATGATTTATGCTTTATCATTTTGTTGCTTGAATGTACACTGACAATTTATGCACTGGAGACAAATTCCTTATGTGTCCAATCACACTTTGCCAATATATTCCATTCTATTCCCATTTCATTCCACTCCATTCTTCAATTAGTTCATCTATTTTCAATTTGTTTTACTTCATGTTCATATCTTAGTTCAAAGCAATTTGCATGACAATTCTTAGAGCCTTTTTGATGGAAAAGGCAAAATATAACTATTTTTTAAAATTAAGACTGTGATACGTAAAAAAATGACACATCAACCTTTGGTATTCTTATCTTTACTAATAACATTCTGTCCTCTCAATAAATTTCACTTGGCTATTAGCAACTGGGTTGATATTTCCCACAACACATGTAATAACTTGGGATGGGTCAACATAGACAATACCACCATCATCTTAACCTTGTCTTGCTCAGCTTAAGTAAACTTTTCAAAGTTTAAGTACATTGTACAAAACTGGAATAGCTAGATAAAGAAACCTGGAAGTTGATGGGAAGTTAAAGGTGGCAGCTTCAGGTTCATGCAGACTGAAAGATTCAATGAAAATGGCTAAGGTGTGCAAGATGAAAGGAAAATGATGGCATTAATCACTCAGGGTAATTTAAGATATTGTGTGAATCAAGTCATACTATGGATTGTTTGACCTGTTGTTCTGACTCAGTCATTGCCATTTCTAAACAATAGTTCATGGCATAGTATCTTGCATTGGAGAACTGTAAGTTCTCCCTTTGTCCCTAACTTCCCTGGCTTCAGATACAGCAATAGCAATAACAGTTAGACTTATATACCATTTCACAGTGCTTTACATCCCTCTCTAAGCGGTTTACAGAGCCAGCTTATTGCCCCCAACAATATGGGCCCTCATTTTACCGACCTCGGAAGGATGGAAGGCTGAGTCAACCCTGAGCCACTTAGGATCGAACTCCTGGAGTGAGCAGTGAGTTAGCCTGCAATACTGCATTCTAACCATTGCACCACCACGTCTCCTAATATCACTTTTCTTGGACCAAAATAGCTTCTCCTCTTCTGTACTCTGTTCCCATTCTTATTTCACTTGGAGCAGTGAAGCTATGGTTGTTTGAAGCACAGTTTACGCAAGGAATAATGTTATCTGTTAGCATAAAACAATGCACTGGTACAAAAATTATAAAAATGGCAACGGTAAAGATTGAAAAAATAATGGTAAGTATGTAATTGATTTATTCATATATTGCCCTAATGATTCCACTTGCCATCTCTTCCTCTGCTGCTGCTTTCCTAATATCAAAATCATGACTGTTGGTTCCACAGGGCAAAGACATGCCTTTCAGCTACATTATTAGTGGATCAATCTTACCTAAAAAGACATATGCAAAATAATTTTACTGCTCAAATTATTTTCAAGAGTACATCAATCACATTTATACAAATGGTTTGTTCGTTTGTTTGTTTGCTTGTTTTATATGCTGTCCATCTCACCATCAAGCGATTCTGGGCAGCTTACAGTATCAGAAGCAATTAAAATGGAAACATTAAAATACCAAGTCTTAAATCAGAAATGACTAACATTAACACTAAGTAAATAAAGAACCAGTGAGTAAGCAGGTGTGGAGGTGGGATCTTATCTAATCTACTAGCCATTTCCAGAATGGGCCACCCCAATTGGGCCCCAAGCGAGTCTGCAGAGCCATGTTTTTAGGCCCTTAGGGAAGGCTGAGAAGCTGGGGGCAGATCTCACATCTAGGGGGGATAATGCCCCAAAGGGCAGGAGCCAAGGCAGAAAAGGTTCTCCTCCTAGACCCCGCCAGTCACAATTCCTTGGCTGATGGGATTCAAAGCATGGCCCTTTTTTCAAGTGGGGTGGGTCAATCCCACTGGAGTGAGATGGTTCCTCAGATATCTTGGACCTATGTCATAAAGGGCTTTAAAGATGATAACCAACAGCTTGAATTGGATCCGGAAGCAAGCTGGCAACCAGTACAGTTTACACAACAGAGTTGTTACATGGGCCACCTAAAACCCTGCTGAATTTTGTGCCAGCTGAAGCTTCTGAATATTCTTCAAGAGTAACCCCATATAGAACACATTGCAGTACTTCAAGCACAAGATAACCATGGCATGAATGACTGAGCGCAAGGACTCACAATCCAAGAAATGGTGCAACACAAAGTGGAGTAAAGGTTCTCCTCTTTGAGCAGGAGTCGTGAGCCTAGAACAGACATGTCAAACTCGCAATGTCACATGACGTCGCGCAACGTTTTGCCATTGCCGGTAACGGGGTGGCCATAGCTTCAGTATGATGAAACCAGCCCAAAGGCCGGCAGTTTGACACCCCTGGTCTAGAAGAACCCACAATTTGCACACAGGATCTGTCTGGGGAAGTATGACCCCATCCAGAACTAAAGTTGTTAAACTCCTAGGTCTCAGGGCTCTGCATACCCATAGCCACTCAGTCTTGCCAGGGTTTAACTGATGTCTGTTGTCCCCCATAGCCTCCAGACACCGTGAAATGGAAATGACAGCAACATTTGTGTCACACCAGGAGATATAAAGTTGAGTATCAGCGACGTACTGATGATGCCTCATCTGATGGTGTTGGATGATCTCACCTATTCTATTATATTCTCATCTCATTTATTTATTTGTTAAATTTATTTGCCGCTTATCTCGCCATAGGGCTACTTAAGCAGCTTACAATAATAAAAAGGAAGAAAAATCAAAGGAGTGTAAACAGAACAGCAGTAAAATAGAATAAAATAAACAATGACAAAGGAACACAACAAAAATAAATACATCAATGTGATAACCAAAAAGATGGAATAGAACTTTTTGGGGTGGGGAGGTGGAGTCTGCCATCAATCTAGCAGCCACCTCCAGCGTGGAACTCCCTGTTTGGTCCCCTGGCCAACTGACAGATCCAGGTCTTTAGACTCTTGCAGAAGGATAGGAAGCTGGGAGCAGATCTTACCTTAGAGCACGGGTGTCAAACTCACCACGTCACATGACGTGTCGCGACATATCACAACTATTTTTGCAGTGCCGGCAATGGGGGGGGGGGCTTGGCTTCGGTATGATGAAACCGGCCCGCGGGCTGGCAGTTTGACACCTCTCCTTAGAGGGTTAAGGTCTTCCAAAGGGCAAGGTGCAATTGGTATCTTTCTAGTTAGTTACATATTTTATTTTCTGAATAATCAGAGCAAAGTATACTGTACACGCTTTTGCTGAAAGCAGAATGATAATAATCCATGTTGTCCACTAAGAGACAAAGAAATATAGTACTTACTTTCTATTGAAAAGAGGATGAAAGATAACTTCTTCTGACTATTCTATAAATGTTCATGAATGGCGTTCTTGATAACTAATTTTGGTTTCATATTAACATTTATTAAAATTAGCAAGGTTTTCCCTTCCTAAATCTGGTTTACTTGAGAAATTCTTTTATCTATAAAGGAAATGTATGAAAATAGGTGACAAATATAGGCCAGGAAAGGTATGTCACAAATTATTGACCTGTCTTCAGATGTTAGGCTTAATTCATTCTCATATAAACATAAGCAGGCTTTGGAAAGTTGCTTCATTTAAAAAACAAACAAACCAGAAACTTAACTTAACCTAAACTGCTTACAGATTTCGTATGCTATTAATCAAAAGATCCTGCAAAGTATCCCTTAAGAGGCTTCAAAAGCTGGAAGCACCAATTCTGTGCAATAGTAAAACTGAGATCTACCTTACCAAAGCTGTAAGATAAAATAGCAGAGAAAAGAAAGAAATGGACCATTTGGTTCTGACCTGGGTCACAACTAATATCCATTCACTGCTGCGACCCCCTCCCCAAACAAAACACTTACTACAGGGATGCTCTAAGGCAGTGTTTCTCAACCTTGACAATTTTAAGGCATGTGGACTTCAACTCCCAGAATTCCACAGCCAGCATTGCTGGCTGTGGAATTCTGGGAGTTGAAGTCCACATGCCTTAAAATTGTCAAGGTTGAGAAACACTGCTCTAAGGTCATCACTTATCATCACTGGAGATTTTTAAGAAGAGGCTAGCTAGACAGTCACTTGTCTGAGACGGTATAGGTTCTCCTGCTTGAGCAGGGGACTGGACTAGAAGACCTCCAAGCTCTATTCTAGTCTAAGGTTTGTCATAGTAACAAAACTAATTGGGTATGTGCCATCAAATCGTTTTCGACTTTTAGAGACCACATCGATTTTCTCCATAACAAGAACAAAAAAAAAAAAAAAAAAAATAGCTGTGGAATAAAAGAAACCCCGGGAGCCCCTTCGCTGGAAAAACTTTGGAACCATCCAAAGACGCGAGCTGCCTATTTGTGGTTTTAAAAAAAGCAAACGCGGAGCCTGTCGAAAAGGCCGAGGCATTTCCCTTGATATTTCAGAGAGCTCTAAAAATCAGAAGAGCACCTTCCGCTTCTCGTAGGCGCTGCCGATCGAGTGACGTCACAGAACCTCCAGAGCTAAGGCAACACACCGCCGCGATCCACAACGCGCCTCCAGCGCCCAGCGACGCCTCCCCCTTTGCTGATTCGGTTCCGTCCGCTTCTTTGCTGTATCCCCCCCCCCGCCCCAAGCCGCATTCAACCCAGCCCCACCCTCGGACCTTTCCCCGCTGACCCGGACACCGCTCCGCAGCACTCCTCCCCCCTCCGCTCGCAAAGCCTGGCGACCAGTTCCGTCTCGGACGGCGAGAACTACGGAAAAAGCGATAGGAAGGGAAAGCGAGGGCGGTGTTTCAATCTAGCGAGGTCATGTGCGTCCGCTGGTTTCCGGTTCGTTTTGCGAAGCTTTACTCGCTCCGGGTAGCTGAGGAGAGGGGCTGCCTGTGGTCACGCATGTGGAAGGGAGGGGGCAGTTGCTGACCCACCTTTGCTTTCCACTAAAAAGGATGGGTGCCGCTAGAGTCGGTTTAGCTGAACTTTTCATGATTTTGCATTTAGTGTGATTTGACAAAGAAGACGCTGAAGAGCAGACTTTAAGGAGCCACAAAATTCTTTATGCTTTCTGTTGCAACAAACTAAACAGCGGCCTTGCTGGAAACTACAGCCTGGAATTATTTTAGGCAAGTAGACTCAGTATAAGAATGAGTTTACTTGAAGGGTCTTGTAAGAGCTGCTTAATATGTGATTCTTGTCTTGCCTCTTTGCATCTTGACAACATGTGTTATTGCATTTAGTCAGTAAAGGTTATTTATTAAGCTGTTAAAATCAAAGAATTGGTGTAATCACTATCACTCAGTCCACAAATGATGTGAAATGAAACAACAATTATGTTAGATTAAATTATATAGAGTTACCAATGTTGGGCTGCCAAAATTTTTTTTACTTTGGAGGCAAAGAGAGATCTCTGTGCTCTTAGGAATGTCAGTCTGCATTCCAAACTACCGGATCCACTTTTTAATTGTCCTGACAGACCTAACCCAGCCTTCCCTCTCTCCTGGGAATAGAAAATTTGAATACTTTTTAAAAGAAATGAAGCATGAAAGAGAAATGTAAAAAAATAAAATAGAATGCAATTAGTTAAGTACAAGTAAGTAAACATTAAACCTAAAATATCCCAGAAATAAGTGCTTATGTATAATCTTTGTTATTTAATATTTGAGTTTTGAAATGTGTTAAATCATTTTTAAAGGAAAAGCTTTTAGTATTGAATTTTAAATTAAAGGTACCTGGCTTAACACAATATAAATTGTCAACTAGTATCATTGCTGTATTATATCAATTCTGAAATTCATAACTTCTTAAAAGATTGAAATGCAGGTTCTAAATATTAGGGTGTAGCACAGTGGTTCTCAACCTTTCTAATGCCGCGACCCCATAATACAGTTCCCCATGTTGTGGTGACCCCCAACCACTTATACATCACCGGGTGCCAGGGGCGTGGCCAAAGAAAAGGGGGAAAAAATGGCGGACAACCTTATTTGGCGACCCCCGTGAAATGGTTGTTCGACCCCAAATGGGGTCCCGACCCACAAGTTGAGAACCGCTGGTGTAGCAGAAACCTGTGTACTAAGTAATAAATGGTTTCCAGTTAGAATTGAATTCTGCATCAGATTTACTTTTTAAATATCAAGTTATTTTGAATATTAAGTCATAGTCTCATTAGCCATTCTGTCAAAGCTGCTAACATCGGATATTTTTGCTTTGATAACATATGGAGTTGCAACCATTTTCCTTCTGTTAGAAGTAAGGTCTTCATCCTGGTTCATCCAAGCCGGGAATAAATAAGCAAACATGGCGACTGCTTTGGGAAGAAGGTTACAGTTTATTGCAGAAAGATGGTTCTTCAGGAAAGTGCAGAGGAGAGAAGGAGAAGAGCGAGATTGAGCACTTTTGTTTGGAATAGTTTCCTGTTTTAGGGCCAGGTTTGGTTTTAAAAAGTCCTTTTGAGGAAAAATATATTTTTCTGCCCTTTTTAATATTTCCTCTCTGGGCTAACTTTCATCACTTCTTGTGTTTTACTCTTAGAATTAGAGTTAGAATTAGATGATACTGGAGGGAGGAGGAAGAATGTGCATGGAAGTTTAGTTAGACATAACAATACTGTAACTAGTGTGTGAACCAAGGTTAGAGAATTGGATGGAAAGCCTGCATTTCAAACTAATTGGAGAATGTGATTTATGACTGTAAATTAGAGGAGGGAATTGTGCTTTGATACTATGTGCTCAGGGTAGGGGAATTCAGATTTTGGCTTTGACTATGTAAGTGCCGAAGTTATGCCACTGAAATAAAAAGATTCTTTAAAGTAAACAATGCCTCAGTTTTTTGAAGAGTTTCATCTGTCGGAACCATGACACATTCTTCCAAGAAAGGAAGATGTCTTTGCTGTAGTTAGGAGTTACTTAAAGACAAAGTAGAATTGGGGAGGGAAGGAAGGAAGAACCTGGGAAGACAGCTTTTGATTAAAATTTGGATTTTCCAGGAATCTGAGATGTTCAACTAATTAAGTCAAAGGGAAGAGCTATTTCAAGAAAATTCTAGATAACAAATCTAGACAAAAACCTGTGCTATGGGTTTTTTTTGTGTTACATACTGTAAGTCTCTCTTCAATTCAGAAAATTGTTTTGGGCTGTCTTGAATGAGATCTCAGGATGTGAACAAGATGGTGCTGATTGTATCTATAATCTTAGTGTACCAACATCATTTGAATCCCACTCCAATCCCTTTAAAGCAAGTTTTTTTTTATAACAGATTACACCATTTTAGGTTCATCCAGAATATAGGATTTACTCTAATCCTTTGTATTTTTCTTCAACTGACTTGTAAACTGATAATTCTGAACTGTTGGTTTAGTATTTAACTTTGGATGTGCATCTTTTAAAATTTAAAATACGATTTCTTATTTTTTAGTCTTAGTAAAAAATTAAGTTTGATTGTGTTTTGTCTTTTATGCAATTGGTGTGTTTCTCAAGGATTCACATAGATTGCAGCTATCCAATCATAAAGCTGTATTATTCCATTCCCCCTATTTTTACTTTTCAAAATCCTAGCAGTCTGAAACCCCTATTTTGCTCACATACCAGGGCTGGGGGAAATGCCCGGTAAACCACCATTTGGAATATACCGGTAAGTGGTAGTATCAGGAGCTACCACTCCTCTCCCAAAACTAGAGCCAGAGCCAGGGTGAATTGTGGGGAGAGTCAGATTTCGACTTTTCATTCTTTGGGCTACAGCTGCCATTTAGATATTTTGATAACTCGTGGGGTAGCCGCAGGCTTGCAGAATGATGTAAATTAGTATTTTCAGCAATTATCATATTGTCTGACATTAACATATGAAATGTATTACAAACTATAGAGCAGCGGTTCTCAACCTATGGGTCGCGACCCCATTTGGGGTCGATCGACCATTTCACGGGTGTCGCCAAGCAAGGCTGTCCACCATTTTTTCCCCTTTTCCGGCAGGTACCTTACCTCCCTTGGGCTGGGCCAGCTGGTGGCCCAGCCGGTGGTCGGCCTGCTCCGTCTCTGCCACTTGCCAGCTACGCCTCAGACGGCACAGGGGGCGGCACCACGCATGCGCGGCGCTCCCAGGCAGGGAAAGTCCTCGACTTACAACCGGTTGGGTAGTCCTCGATTTACGACTGGTTTAGTCCTCGACTTACAACCGGTTTAGTCCTCGACTTACGACCGGTTGGGGAGGGTCGTGGCATTAAAAAGGTTGAGAACCACTGCTATAGAGCAACCCTGGATTTCACGCTTTTAAATTCAGCTGTACATGGCTGAAGTATTTCTAACTTTAGTCTCTTAATTAAAAGGGTTGTAGCGGCAATTTCAATATCCCTTTTTTCTGTTAGAAAATTTTGTTTAACAACTGATAAATAGGACTTATTTCTGTTAAGATGCCCTCGTGCTTTTTATACTGCAATGGCAAATACAAACATTATTTAGGCAGAAGAGTTTTATTCATTAAACATTTGCTTACATGCTAGAATGAACATAAGGTAAGAATTAGAACATACATTTTATGTTGTTAAGAAATTGAAATCTTTTCATTCTATTGCATTAAAGTGCTGTCCACCTACCCTGGAGTTGGCTAAAACTATACAGGAATGATATTTGCTGTTCTTTGTACTCATCTTAAAGCTGGCCACTTTCTCTTCAAGGTAATTGGCAATAAAGCTCAACTGATTTTATATACAGCAAGAGTGTTCTTAGATGTTGTTAAATTCAGGGAGAAAATTTTTAACTGCTGCTAATCTAAGAGAGATTAGCCTGTCTGGTTTATAGGCTAGCAATACATGAATCCATTACCATTGCGATGGAATGTGCACCTGCAGGAGGAGTAGGGGAGAGTTTTAATAAAACACAACTTTCCCAGAAAGAGACCTGGATTAAGGGAGTGTCCATTTGCGAGCAGGATGGGAAAGAAATTCAGAGTAGCCGTAGCCTAGAACAGTGGTGGCGAACCTTTTAGAGACTGAGTGCCCAAACTGCAACTCAAAACCCACTTATGCATCATCGGGTGCCGGATGGGTGTGGCTCATTGAGTGGGTGTGGCTGTAGTGGTAACAGCAGACTGGGTGGGACTAAAAAGTTTAATCAATTCCAACTTTGCGAGATCTTTCTTTTCCCGCGAGAAGTTGAAATTGATTGATCGATTGAACCTCTCTTTTTTTTGCACACGGCGGCGGAGACTTAAAGTGAAAAAGTTTTATAAAACCCAGCTGAAGGCCTAAGACTGGGGTGACAGCGCGCGTGCCCACAGAGAGGGCTCTGAGTGCCGCCTCTGGCACCCGTGCCATATGTTTGCCACCACTGGCCTAGAATATCTTCAGAATGTATTTAGCAGGTAAGGTGACAGCTTTAGTTTGGCAGGATTCTGTCCATTAGGTGTAAGCAAATAAAGAATTGAACTCAAACAGATTTCTCTGGACTTGGACCCGATAACAGAAAAGGGAGGCACCTTCTTGGGTGATTTTGAAATATTTTTATATTGTAAAATGATTACAGTACAGGCCTAGTGTTTTAGTAGGCTTCAGGTGATGCTTAATTTTTGTGCATTTATTGTTTTTGCAGCACACCATTTTTTGATTTTACAGCACACCACTTTTTAATGCTCACAACACTCTAACCTGTTTTATTACAGTATTTAGATACAAGGCAGTGAAAATCCCTAATATTCCTGCCATCTACCTCCTCCAAACCCCCAAAAAGAAACCCCACAAAAGTGGGGGCAGTGTCACTCTATATAAGGAATTGCTATACCGCCACAGAAATACACAATATTAGGGATGAAAGCCTTCTTGAAAATAGTTGGCTAAATATTAGCAGAAAAAGAAATGATTTTGCGATAGGTATGCACTACTGGCCATCCAATCTGCCAGAGGAAATAGATGAACTCTTTGCAGTTAGCTGAGGTGTGCAAGAAACTATAGTAATGGGGGGACTGACATCAACTGGGAAACTGGGGGGAGTGGGAGATCAAACAGGTTCCTGATGTGCCTAGCTAACAACTTTGTCATACAAAAGATAGAGAAAACTAGAGAGACTGGCTGTATTGATTTATCTAACAATGCTATCTTATTTATTGTAAATATATAAAACTGGTTCGTGTCAGCGTTTGACTCTATTTGGACACCAGCTGCACAATTCCCTGACAGGGACAGCTATACTGGATTTAATTCTTACTAATAGGGACAAAATGGTTGAGTAGAAACAAAAGGTACCCAAGGAGACAAGCAAGGTTGCAAAGAGCTCTCTGACAAATTGAGGGACAAAAAGATCAAAATATAAAAAATGGAAAGAGGGGCATGTAACTAAAACAGAATACCAGCAAATAGCCCAAATTTGCAAGGAAGTCAGGACCGCTAAGGTCCAGAATGAGCTAAGACTGACAACTAATGCCAAAAATAATAGTTTCTTTTAATATGTAAGATGTAAGCAGTCAAGGAAATGATAGCTCCACTAATGGGAGCAGATGGCAAGATGACAGGCAGCAGAGAGAAAGCAGAACTGCTTAATTCCTTCTTTGCATTTGTTTTTACAAAAAAGAAATAGCCCACCTTTGTCAAAAGCAATACCAAGGAAAACAGAACAGTATCAAGTCAAAATAGGCAAAGTACTATTGAGAATATGACTGCTAGATTGTACGATGGTTGAGGGAGGCATGTCTAGTCTATTGAAGGGGGGGGGACAGAGTTGTGGGTGTTCCATCACATGTGGTTTCAGAAACAGACTGGACAATCATTTAATCAGGATGGTATTTAGTAGCGGGTTAGACTAGACTTTCAAGGTACTTTCTAGCCCTATGATTTTATTTTTCTTACAACCATCATCCTGTGGGGAGGGTTGGATTGAGACTGGCCCAAAGTCACCCAGGCAACTTTCATGCCTAAGGGAGGCTTAGAATTCAGTCTCTATCCAAGTGTCCTCCCTTCTTTACCCAGTATTCAACTTCTTGTCCTTATATTTTAAGAATCCTCAGTAAGAACCCATTATTTATTTATTAATGTATATGGCTGCCAAATTCACATAGGGCGATTCCGGACAGCATACAACAGTGGTGGCGAACCTATGGCACGCATGCCAAAGGCGGCACTCGGAGGCCTCTCTGTGGGCACGTGCGCTATGCCCCGGAAATGGCAACCATCCCTCTTCAACCAGCCACCCGCTAACTCGCCACCATATGGCCAGATGCATCCCAGAACGGCTGGTTTTCCTCCCCCGTCCCATCCCTCCTGGCCTCTCCTTTTCCTGGGCACAAACCACTGCATTTCTTCCTCAGCTGTCGGCCATCTGTCCAGCTCAGAGGCGGTTTCTCTGAACTTCTGGTGGCGACCTGCGGAGCCCAAGTGCACCAGTTGAGGGGCCAGCAGGCTGTGGCTGCTGACACTGTTGGCCCTCTTGCGCTCACTAGCCTATGTGGGGGCCGATGGTGTCAGGCAGCAGCCACCCCGGCCCCTGCCTCACCCTGCGACAATGGCACCCCAGCCCTGCCTTGCCTCACCTGCAGGACGAGTCTCCTGCCCACTGCCACACCTGCCAAAGACCCCCTGGATCTCCCCCAATTCTGCTTGGCCCACACAGGCATCCCTCCCCATGAGCAACATCAAGGTAACCATGCCCACCTTGGCCACACCCACCCAGTGGGCCACGCCCACCTGGCACCCAGTGATAAATAAGTGGGTTTTGGGTTGTAGTTTGGGCACTTGGTTTTCTAAAAGGTTCGCCATTACTGGCATACAGCAATGAAAAGCCAGTTTAAAATCTCCAGCCTTTGCCCTCTAACGTTAAGCAAAAAAAAGCTGATGTATAAGGAACATCAGTTTATTTTACCAAATTTATACACTGCTCACCTTGTGATGTAAGGTGTTTATATTAATGCACTGCACATTAAAACAGCATACAGCTTCATCTGTAGCTCTTTGTAGTTTTTCATCTTTCTTCAGTGTCAATTAAAGAAAAGCAGTGAATATTCCAAAAAAATAAAAGCTTATGTGACAATGGGATATGTAAAGATAAAGGCTGTACTATATTTCATCAGACTGCCATGAATAGATCAAACATGCAGACACCAGCAGTGTTTGGAGATTATCAAATTAGTTTTGAATCTTTTATAAATACATTCATATTTTTTGCCTAAGTTCAAACAAGAAAAATAAAAATACTATTGAATAAATATAATAGTACTTTTATTTTTCTTCTTTGAAATTCTGGAATACTGACAGCATTGTGAATTTCAAGTATGAACTAAGACCTAAAGTAACAGCAACATCATTTAAAACTATATAATCCTCATGATTGTAGAACATAGCTTTCAAGTCCAATATATTTTCAATGAGTATCTAACAGTTGGTTTTAAAGAGATGTTATTTTCTAATCTTAAAGGAATTTCATGTAGTTTTCTTATAATCAACAGTTTAAAAAAATGCAACAGAATCCAGTGCATTTATTTCTTGTAATGTGTATGGAAGCTTTCATTTGATTTCAACACATACAAGTTAATGACAATTATCAATACTAGAAGAATAACACAGCCAAAGTGTAAATGAACACAAGAGCAAACTGCCAGATTCCTTCTTTAGCTGGAAGATAAAATGATCATTTTCAAGTGTAGGAAAACGAATACTATCTTCTATGTTAGCTACTAATCAGAATAATCCAGAGGCAGCTAGCAGTATTCCCTCCTTTTCCCCCTACAACTAAGCTAGAGACAGAAATTTACACAGCATTTCTTATAGCTGGGGAGAAATTTATCATGAGGATACATATTGGATCTAATAGCATATTTTAGATAAATTCTATTCTGCATATCAGATAAACAATTTGATACAACACCTAGGACATAATGAATATTAATAGAGTGTGAACATGAACTGGGAAAAAACACTCCAGCTACTTCATTTCTTTACATTTAACCTGAATAAGTAATCTGAGCCATGTTGCCTTATATCTCACATAACCATAAAATGGTAAAATAAAAATGAATTAAACTTCCAGGTATAAAACATGCTATTATTGCTTCCATAATTGCAAAGGGATCACAATCTAATATCTTTATTTTGCTCTTTTGTGTTAGAACCAGAGCTTTAAATACTTCTGGTAGTTTTCCATCAACTAATGCTGCTTCAATCCACAATAGTAATTTAATTGTAGATTAAAAGCAAACTACCAAAACATTCTAGTTGCTCTTACACTTTAAATAATGGGATTCACAACATGAAGAGGATTAAACTGAAAGAGCAGATGTGCAAATCTAATAGCTATCAAGGATTTCTGGCATCATATGGCAAAAGACTGAACTTATTCAGCTGAAGATTTAACTACCGTATTTTCCAGCGTATAAGACGACTTTCTAAACCATGCAAATTGTCTCCGAAGTCGGGGGTCGTCTTATACACCGGAAAATACGGTAACCAAGAGTTTGCTGCTCCCTACCAACTAATCCCATCCAAAAATGTACTGTGAGAAAAATAACAGTTCTCAATTCGCTCCCATTTATATTCAGATCATAAAGTAGACAACATAAAGCTTTATTGTAGTATGTAATATAAAGAACTGGAATTCAATCAATATCCATTTCCGGAAGTTTCTTTTCTGTAGATGTTGGAGCTGTTGAATCTGTATGCTGTTCAGCAGTCTGAGAAGCCTTGGTGGCATCACCCTGGCCTTCTACTGGACCATTCTGTTCTGCTGATTTTTGATCCTCTTTTGGTGGTTCCACTTTGGGTTTGGGTTTGGTAACAATAGGATTACAGATGTTTATCAGTTCCTGAAATGAAAGAGTTGGACAGCACTAAATGACCCAATTATATCCAGGCTACTTCCCAAAATGTATGAAAGTTAACATGCAATGGCCAAACTGAGCCAGAAAACCTCATGATAGGTCATTGCACATGTAGAAAACATGCTGAAAAAAAACTGTAACTGTGGAGACAAGCATCAATATAGTAGTACAAACCATTGTAGTAATTTCTGTTTTTACATTTTAACTGAATACAATGCATTCAAATACCCAGTACAATCTAACATATCTTCACAAAACTGAACTTGAAATAATCTAGTCATAAAGCTTCTTAAGTATTTCTGAAATTTTGAAACTTTAACATATACTTCAGCAAAAGTGAACAAAACATCCCTGTCTATTGTACCTGTTTCAAAGCTTTGAACATAGACATCTACGACATTCTTAATTGGGCTAAATGCCAACAATGTAAATAATGATACATTTTAGTAAAGCTGAAAGAATTTTTCTTGGCAACCACACAGAAACATTTATCTAGATTCCTATCCATATGTCTCTCATCCTTCATTCAATCCAAAACTGTTTCAACTGTTTTTTCTTTCTAGTAAGATCTTTTACACCGTAACACAATCCTTTTAGGTTCTCAAGAAGAAATAAAAATATTTCTCACAGTGTGAAGAAATCTATCTGAGATAAATCTTTCTCTGTAGGTTTGTCAGAATAAATTTGCTTGAGATCACAGTAGTCCATATAATATGTGGTCTAATTGTTGCTCTATTGTTGTCTAATCTATCCTTGGAACAGATGCAGAATCTTTGTAAAAAATTCATATAATTTATTTTCTTTCCATGCTAATAATTGCTCTTTTATTTTGATAATAAAACCAAAGCTTTGATAATTAGTTGGGCTGGGGAGACATCCACTTTTTTTTTTAAATGTCCACTCACTGCTTTATTAAATCTATCAAGACAAGAGAAACAATATGAGCTCTGTTACTTCAAAGTATCAATAGTATGGTACCTCCTGCCTCTTTTTTTCTGAATTGTATATAAAACACATTGATTAACTCTTGGCTTAAAAGATTTAAATCATTTTTTGCCATCCTGAGATAATGTAAAATCTATAGGAAAAAGTCTAAAAAAATAATACCACCAGTGCAGTAAGTTTAAAGACTTATTTACTTTTGTTTTTGCTTCAATTTCCTTTGCTGTAATAACAGGGTCCAAAGTAAGACTTCGCTTGTGCTGAAGATTAAGCTTGTTGTTCATCCATTCCATTGCTTCATTTGTACTCTTCTCCACTTTAGCCATTTCGGCAGGGTCTAAGTGATCATATTGCTCATCCTAGTCGGGGGAGGAGAAACATTATTTCAATTTACTACTGAAAAAAGAATCAAAATTTTTGAAATCTATTTTGAACGTTAAGAAAGATATAAAAGGACACCTTTTCTTTAAATGCATGAACAGCTTTCATATATTGTTGAACATGTTTCCCAAGCTCTTCAAAAGCTTTTGGTCTTTCTTCAGATTCTTGAAATCGTGCCTGAATAGGCTGCCCCACAGCCTGAATTAAGAGAAAAATTCACCAAGAAGTTAGTAACAAGTGAGATGAAAGGTGCTCATGCTAAAAACTGCTTTAAATCGCTGAAAGTATTTCAAGTTAAGCATGCTATAATTTTTAGCCCTTCAAACCTCTCTCCAAAAGACAGTACAAATGATAACTGTAATGTGCCCTAAGTGAAGACAGGTATATAAACAAGACAGTAATATTAACAAGTGCTCTCTGGAATTAACAGGAAAAAACAAACAAACTGAATACATAATTTTAACTAAACAAATCAAATCTAGTTTTGCTCCTAGCCTCATCTGTTTTTGGATTGTGTCTTCTAGCATACATAAGACCAAATTCAACCCTCAACCTAAACTAGGCTGTGCGTGCCTGTGCAATGAAAACTGAAGCATTGCATTGAAGGCAGCTCTATGTTTATTAGCACACATCATTTAAAAAAAAACCTTAAAGCAATGATAAATACATGGAAGCAGAAGGGCTTTCTCTAAGATGACCAATTAATATGCATTTTAACCAAACCCAAAACGTCAGATATAGCATCAGTATTTCTCAACAATGCATGTAACATATTGTGTGACTGAAATCTATGACTAGTTCATACAGCTAGGTCATAGTTTAACGTTGGTTTGCTGAATACAATAGCTAAAATTGTACGTATAATCACTTTAATATGTTGTTTAAAAGTTAATGGCTTAGTTCACAGAACACAGAACTCAAAGCCGTATAAACCTTAATGTGTGAACCTGGCCAGCATATTCAAAGGTTTCCTAAGAATTACATGGAAAATTCTTTTTACAGGAAGATGATTCACTCTAGTACGTAGTTTAAAAATGTCCAAACACTACTTGTTAAAGAATTCTAAAGGCAGAACATCACGTATGATGTTTTCATGAAAAAAGGAAACATTACAGCTACATGCTATCAGGATCATATAGATGAATTTAATTTCAATGTTTCTTTTTGTTGCTCAATAAATAGAAAATCTTTATAGCTGAAGAAAATCTGGCAGTTTTCGGTTTCACTTACTTTCAGTTCAACAAGTTTATCAATATAAACTTGTTTTGGTTGATCTTCACCCTCTTCATACAACCAGTTCTCTGTGTCTTCCAACTTCAAAGTGAAGCTATTACGATCCTGGAAACAATTCAAATAAATTAAAGTGTTATTCTTCAGTGAAGAATGGTTCTGATACAACTGAACTGAACTCCCAACTTCCTAATTTTGAGAATCAAATATGCCACCAAGTTATATAATGCACGGACAGTCCTCAATTAATGCCCATAATGGGACCGGGAATTTGACTGCTAAGTGGCATGGTCATAAAGTGAAAAAAATCACATGACCATACTGACTTACGACAACACATCAGTGAGCATCACAAATGGTGATGTGACCACAGAATGCTGGGACTACTGTATTATAACTGTGCACCAGTTGCCAAGAGCCTGAATGGAGACCACATGATTGCAAAGACATTGTGATGGCTGCAACTTCAAGGACAGTCTATCAGTCTGCTCATTCAGCATCGTCGTAACTTCAAACAGTTGCTGAAAAAATGGTCACTAAGCAAGGACTCTTTGTACTATAAATATTTGTGGAATTAAAGAGATCAGTGGGTTAAAGATATCAAGAGATTGGCAACTTAGCAGAGATAGAAAACAAATTTGTAAAAAAGGATGCAGTAGCAAAGTCCATACAAGTGTACATTTCTGGTTTACATTGCCTAAAAATGTACTACCTTCCGTGAAAAAGCTTGAAAATTTTGACAGAGAAGCTGATGACTGATATTAGATTATTCTGAGTAGATCTGCTTGTATTTTTCCTAGTTGCGCATCATTAAAACCTACCTCATCACTAACAAATTTTTCATACACGCCACAGAGTTTGTCTCTCATTTCATAAACATACTCCTCCACTGCATTCTTGGCATCATTCCGCTCCTTCTCCAGTTTATCCTGCATGATCATTTTACCCTGCAGGAAATATAAAACGGTTACTGTGACTGTGTACAATTCAATTCTCTCTTAAGCATCCTCCATGGAACAAAACTTGACTTCCGATAAAGTCAAAGATCTCTATGCAGTTTTCTTGACAACATACTAGTTGGCCACTGCCTCTTCCAAAGTGTCTTTCAATTTTCCAATTCAGCCTATGTCCTGATATTCCTTGTTAGCATCATGCAAACAGTGCGTACCTTCTGAGCCCAAACAAGTCAACCCACTGTTATCACTTCTAAGGTAAGCAATAAATATCAACCACTGATCTTCCTTTACTGCAGGATGACAGAGTGAGATTACAAGGCTACATTGCACCTTTTGTTTTCCATTCAGGCCGAAATCCCATGTTAAGTGTTTTAAATTAACTTACCTCATTCTCAATAAATAAGTTCAACATATCCTTTCCTATCTGCCACACCAAATGATTCTCAATTGGAAGATCCACTGTCGTTGTCTTTACTTTAGCTTTCTTAGCTTGAGGGGGCTGGTCCGTTTTCTTTTCTTTCGATCCAGCCTGAGATGTCTGCATTCAAAAAGTTATTTTAAAATAGAATTCAGGACAGAAACATGTAATGAATTCTGGTTTGGAAGCTATTCATTTTCATAAACAACTCTGCCCTGAATTGTCCCATCAACATAACTGGGAATTATGCCTTAAGACAAAAGTCCCCAACCTTTTGGGCACCAGGGACCGGATCCATGGAGAGAGGTTTTTCCGTGTACCAGAGGGTGTATGGTTTTGTGTGCTGCCTGCATCTCGCAGGTGGGGCTTTGCTTGTTTATGCGGACTGGTTGCTGGCATGCCATGGCCCAGTACTGGTCCATGGACCGGGGATTAGGGACCTTTGCCTTAAGAAACATGTACTGAAAAAAATATCAAATTATTTTACAAACAGGCGGTTTAATAATTTTATCTTAGCTCATCCTTAGAGCAGAAAAGTAATCTGCCATTTTCTTTCTATTATTCAACTAATTTTAAAGCATGTTTTATTTTCAGACATAACTTTTACCTCCATTTCCTCAGATTCAGTCTTGTTTTCAACTTGTGTTTGCTGTTGTTGTTCCTCACTTTTCTGTTGCTCTTCCTGGTCTATTTGCATCTTCTGAAATTAGAAAGCAAGATGTTGGATTACATGAAACCCCTATTCTATTGAATAGATACTAAAAGGAACTCAACTTGTCTGGGTCCCATTCCAGCATTTTTTAGAAGGAAAGCACATTATTATGATGCCATTATTTAAGGCACATAACTGACAGAAGCCTACTTGCACCCCTTGTTTTAGTAACATATATGGTACACTCCAGCTCTTATGTGTTTACTTTCATGAATCTAAGTTCTTTAACCACTTATTTAGAAGTAGACATTTTCTATACAAGTAAGTGGACACTGTTAATAGCTAGCAAAATCAATGCACTCTGTGGTTGCAGTTTTTATATAATCTTGTAACCTTTAGTCTTAGATTTGCGTAGTCCTGTATTTGGAAGTTTAATGATAAAGGAAGCTGTTACCAGAATTGAATTATTGTTCTTAACAGCAACATTTGGCAAAAAAAAAAAATTACCTCTTCATCTTTTGTATGTTGATCTGTTTCCATGGGCTCTTCATTTTCCTCTGATTTATGAACTTCCACAAGGGATGCACTTGAAACACTGAAAATGCCATGGATATTTACTCTGACTTTAACTTTCACTTTGGAACTGGATCCATCCTTTTGGGGTATTACTTTCTGAACTAAAAATTGAGCTAAATGGGAAATAAAAAATATTTTCACTGGAGTAAAAATATTAAATTGGAATGGCTAACAGAAAATAGTTGAAATCTCTACTGTTTCCATTACTGTCTTTTAATAAATGCGTACAAAATTTGCTGATTTAAAAGATCATGATATTTTCCAAATATATAAAACCAAAGATACTGTATACCAGCAATTTATTTGATTTTCCTTCAGTGATTGAGTTATTTTACTAAACATTTATTCTGCATTTTCACTATTTAAAACAATCAAAATGGGAATTTAAATTATTGTAATCTAATTATTAATTAAACAGTGTATTAGTTAAAACAATTGCTGGACAATATTTAATCATCATGTCTTTAAATTTATAAAACAGATTGCAGGCTGATTGTTTCAGTTTCTTAGAGGTACAACTCTGTTCAAGGGTAAACAGGTTCTTTCCCCATGTATACATTCTTCTCTTGGGTCTCTGGCAGTTCTAACTAATAGAAAATAAGGAGGAGCAAATAAATTAAATTTGAAGGGCTTCTATATCTAAGATATTTGTTTAATTCAACAGTTAAGTGCCAAGAAGGATTCACTCAAACGAGGATAACGGTTCCTCTAAAACAGAGTCATTTCACTATGCATTCCATAATTCAAGTACAGTTGCAAGCAGACAGATGGAGGTTCTCTGCCCCTTAATACTGTAATAAATTATTTTAAATTGTGGGGACATTGCCATTTTAATGACTTGGTTGCACAATCTGCTCTATGAATGTGAAAGTAGCTCTCTCATTTAATTCTTTCCTTTGGGAAGAGCCTCTTAGATTCCCTTGCATTGGGTAGAAGTGCCAGTTTACTGCAACCTCCGCTGTTAAAATGCATAATTCCCCTTGACACTCTACTATCTTTAAAAAAAGAATCTTGCCTCCATCTCTTCAATTTTGGTCCAGTTTTCTTTACCCCTTTCTACTCCTTGTCCATTTTTCTGTCTTAACCATTTTTCATCCCCAGTTGTGCCCTTCCTTCCCAGCCTTGCTATGAATACTAGTTTTCTTTCTAGCTATGTGTGGCATGTACTGCTAGCTTTCTAATTTTGCCATGGACCAAGAAGGATTTATGATGGGTTTAAAAACAATCTCACACATAACTGATAACACAATACAGCATTGCCTACAATATTATGTTCTAGTCTCTGTCTTACATTTTAGCATGCATGTTAACACTAACACATTTCATGACAAAATAACTGACAGGTATGTTCCTAGATCGAGATACATGTATTAAATACACAGAAACAATGTCTCTTATGCTACATACCTATGGCAGAGTTTGGGTATGGCAATTCTTTAGGTGAACTATAATAAGCTTCCAAAGTAAAGGGTTCCTTTCTGTAAAATGTAAGGACTTTGGAGAAAGGTGCAGCATGATTCTTTGGAAATACTTCACAATCACTATAAAAAGAATACATCCTTGTTTCACTCAAATAAGCAGTTTTAGAGACACAGCTTATGCTACAAGAATTATGTCAATGGTTCGAATATATTAAACGTTAACGATATAGTGTTTATGGAGTTTTATATGCATATTCATATAACAGGACATACAAATCAGCTTTGTTAGGAGTTCAGTTTTACCTTATCCCCTCTTCTGCTGGGGAGTTCCATTTTAAAGAAATGGGGTATGGCACCAAATCTGTGATAGAAAATTCTCTCACTTTAAAAGCTGGGGATAGAATAGCACACTGTAAGAGAAAAAAAAATAAGTTCAGTTCTGCAGCATCAAATTGTCAATCATGTATAACACCAAGCGGCTGATAGGTTTCAATTTCAAAAACTCTTCTTTATTCAATTAGCATATGGTCAAACTCTGGATGTAAGAAGTACGAAACTGCAGTGCCTTATCATCTTGTCTGTCCCATCTCTTTGCACTTGTCAGACACCATCTCATCTGATTACAATTTAATTTTTAAAAATTAATGCTGTGAAATTTATTTCACAGTTACAGATGGAAAAGTTTACTTCTTTGCTGCCTTGCGTGCTTACAGAATTATGCACTTCCCTTTTGTCTTTTACAGCCATAAAAAAAAAAATGGCAATTTTCAGTTAGAAACAGGCTATAATTCCCAATTAAGCTTTTATTCAAGAAACTGGCTTTGGCTATCTTTAGTTAAATAATAATTAGACAAATAATTAGGGATGAACAAATTATCTACATTTGTTTACCAAACATAATGGATAACTGCAAATATTTGAAAACATACTTTTATCATTATGTTGCAAAGAGAAGGAAAATGTAAATGTCATTGGGTTATTTTATAAAGTCATGAATTCCAATTTTATTTAAAAAAAGATTAAAATATTTAACATATCACTAAAATGTAAGTCTTAAAAATAAAAGGAAACAAGTAATAAAAGCTATAACTATAAACAGATACAGAAAAGTTTTGATTTATTTATTTAAATGATTTATAAAGCCACCCTTCTCACAATCTGTGAATCTCAGCAGTGCATTGTATAAATGAGTAAATGCAGTACAAAATCAGAAGTAAAAAATCAAATAATAATCAAGACCTAACCAAGACTGGCAATTAAAACACACACAGAGAGACAGACAGACAGACATGTATACACCACATCTACCATTTTGGCTCAACGCATGGGACAAAAACCAGATATTCACAGATCTGCAGAAGGCCAATAGTTCAGGGCCATCCAAACATTTTAAAAGAGAGCATGATAGATGCAGTCAATAGTAACTGGATCCACAGCTTTCCACCTCCTTTCAAAAAAAGGCAATTAATCTCATTTTAAGCATCATCAGAATCTATACCAGTCCTACTTTGTCAAGTCAACAGTGGCTCTCTTTAAGAAGAACAATCCCATGTTAAGTTGAATTTAGTTAAAATAACTAATCATGGAATTTCAGATGCCATCCACAAATTCTACATAATAGCACAGTAGTTTTAAATTTATACTAAAGAAGCAATTTGTGGTAAGAATAATCTATTATTATTTATGGTAAGGTGGCAATCCCTTTACACAGAGGGATGAGCTGCATTTCAGATTTGAAGCTGAAAAGATGCTTTGAGTGGGCACTGGGCGTGCATACAGGTAGTCCTCACAAGTTATGCCAGTCGTTAAGCAGGTCATTATGTGACCACACCTGATTTTATGACCTTTTTTGCGGTGGCGGTGGTGGCGGTGGTTAAGCAAATACAGCATTCGTTAAGTTAACCCATTGTCCACAAGGGGCGGTTTTTGCTGGAAACAGGAAGTAAACACCAGTCTTTGGCAAAAAAGTTGTAAGTCATGACCAAGTGACCATGAGATGCTGCAAATGTGAATGGGGAAGTGGTGGCCACTGGAACTATGACTGTAGGTCATAAGTATCTTTTTTGGGGTTAGTTATAACTTCGAACAGTCAATAAGCAACTGGTTATAAGTTGAGGACTACCTCTTAAAGCCATGCCTTTTCCTAGCTTTGCATGACAGCCCCATGATCTCAAGTTAATACATATCTGGAGCCAATACACTTTCATGTGTGCTCCAAAGCACTTTCTTAGCTTCAGACTGGAAGTGCTCCTGCATATTCCCTATTGCCAAATATGCTGAGACAATCCAATCCAAAGATTAGAAGTGCTCTTGCACATTCCCTATTGCCAAATATGCTGAGACAATCCAATCCGAACATCCACTGAAATCTTAGGGCACAAATTCTTTTTCTTCTGGAGTTGATCACACATCTGAAAGGAAGATTCCAAAGTGTGCTAGATGTTTGGGTAGGGATTGCAGAGAAATGGAAAGGAGAAAAATGTTACCCTATACACACCCTAGTTCATGCAATTGTTTTTGGTTTTGGACTATGTAAATTTACATTTGAAAAAACTCATTTGACTACTGATGGAGCAAAATGCATTTCCTAACAAACACTCAACATTTCTTTCCAATTCAGCCACTACATTTATTTGTGGTTCCTTTGAAATTAAAAGTGAATTCTTACCTGCAATGCACAGCCTCGTGTGACCGCTTCATCCGCATTCAAAGTTGTACTGAGTTCTTTACCAAAAAATTTACTGATCCGTTCTTTTACAGCAGGAATTCTTGTAGCCCCTCCTACTATTTCTACTGCACAGACATCCTCCTTCTTTAATTCTGTGAAGAAGAAGAAAAACAGTAGAGTCATTCTAAATCTAAATTCATTTGCAGTAATAAAATCCAGTTTCAACATGTGCTACAATGGCATTTTCATCAATGCAAGTATCACTGGCACATCAGTCTTGTAATACACACACACACACACACACAACAAATTAAAAGTGAAAGAAACATTTTTGAATTGTTCCATTTGGATTTGAGTGAGGAAAATATCTTGCAATTTTCGACTATATTTCTGTCTACTTGCTTAAGTAGAAAAGGTTTTAAAACAGATTGGACAACCATTTGTCTGAAATGGTATAGGGTTTCCTGTCTGGGCAGGGGGCTGGACTAGAATATACTACCCTCAAAGCAATCCTTGGGGCCTGTCTACTAGATGTTTAGGAGAGCTCCTTTTTTAAAAAATATATCTTTGATGTTGATTGGATGATGCTGAATATTCATATTTCTTGGGGGCGGTTTACTGGGTGGATATTATATACATACAACTGGGCAACATAATACATGAATAATAATATGACTGGTATTTTCTAGGCATAAAAAGATACAGTTAAATTTCCAGTCAAAGAACACAATACTTACAAATAACAAGATGGGGGGGGGGTTACCAAAAGTCAAGACTGTTTTATATTTAGCATTCTAGTTAAAGGAAAACAAAGGTATAATATTTATAATACAAACAATTATTGTTTGTATTATAAATACAATTGTGCTCTGATGGAGAACTGCGATACTCCCAAATAATATTTTGTATTTGTTGGATTTGCATACCATCTTTTTCCGGAAGCTTGGGGCAAACATTCTTAGTATTTTAATTTTATTCTCAGCCATGTGAAGTTAATGGACTGAGTGATAAAAAGTAACCAAAGTCACCCGGAGAAATTAATGATTGAGTGCTTGAATCTGAACCTCCCTAATCCTAATTTCTGTATCATTCGCTATTAGTAATGTTCATTTTATTTTACCTAGCAGTTTCAAAATACAAGTGGCTCAACTATGTACTTTAGTGTTTCTGCAGTTACATTTATTAGTCCTCTACTGCACTCCAAATAGCAAAATGTATACTTACTAGCTTGATCTAAGGCGCTGCGAAGAGGTGGTTCTATTCTGGCCAAAAGATCATCACACATCTCTAAGAATTTGCCTCTGCGGGTGAAAATAGAAAATTATTTTTATGAAAAAAAGCATAAAAATTAGTGTCTCTTAAATGATTAATCCCCCAAATTGGCAACATTAACGAAGTTGCAGTTAGGTAGATGTATTTAGATAACAAACCAAAACTCAGATAATTCAATCTGCTGTATTCTTCAGCTCTTTTGTTTAGGTAAAATGCTTCATTTATTTATTTCACTCCCACAATCCATAAAAACAAATTTCTATAAAAACATGCCACAGAGAAGTTGAGTTTCTACATGTTAAGAGATTAATCATTCCTCTCTTTCTCATTCCAGCTTACAGTAAAATTGTCACATATACTCAAGGTTATACAGCACAAATCAATGATTAAATCCATAGCAAATACCTACATACTAATACAAAATTTTGGTCAATTATGGCTTTAATGACTTAAATGATTAAAACATTTTTGTATTATACTTTGGGATGTGCTATTCGCAGTAGTACAGCATCTGCAGACTAATTTATTTAAAGAAGTATACATTTATAAATACAATGACATAAGCTGCTTTCACTGAGTTATACGTTGTCTTCCCCATCCACCCCCATGTCAGAGAGGCAAACTAAACTGAACTTAAACTAAACATTATGTACTATGCATTTATTCTTTATATAGTTAATACTCTTCTCCTTTTTCCGTGTTCAAACTGTAATTTGGAAGCAAATTGGAGATTACATCTACATGTCACTCCAAGATGATAGAAACAGCACTCCTAAATAATTCACATTATCAAAACTTCAGATCTAGCTTTGAGAGATAAAAAAAACCTGCAGTAGAAATAGTTAATAATTTTCCTAATTGTAACATATAGTTGTCCACTTTTCCATTCCCTTCATTACAGGTAGTTGTCATTTAACAACCACTCATTCAACAGTTTGAACTTACAGTTATGCTGAACCATTGGTAGTTATGACCAGTCCTTATACTTATGACCGATGCAGCATTCTGTGATCGCACAGTCATGATCTGTGATCTTCCCTGTTGGCTTTTGACAAGCAAAAGGGGAAGCTGGCAGGAAGTCATAAGCCATGATCAAGTGAGGTCCTTGCTTAATGATGCTTGCATTCCTTGCTTAGAAATGGCAACTGAGGCTGCCAGAACTGATGTGGCTAAGTGGCACAATCATGTCGGTTTTTTTCACAGGTGTTCCTGTGTCACTTAACAATGGAGTTTCCAGTTCCAATTAAAATAAAGATGTAAACAGGGAGGTGTGCTCACATACTTAAAACAGTGATAAAGTTTTTACAAGTTCATTACTAAGGTATATTAATCTGCAATACCTGTTCATAGTCCCAGAGACATCAATATCATTCATGAAGCATTCTATATTCATGGGCAGGTCAGAAGCATTTGCACTCATAAGCTTCTTCAGCTTCTCACATTCCTGAGATAATCTTAACAAGGGCCGAATATTGGACTTTATGTCTAGTTTGTATTTCTTCCCAAATTCTTCACAAAAATAATTTACTAATACTTCATCAAATTTCCTGCCACCGAGCATGGTGTCAAATGCTGTTGCAAGTACCTTCACAATAAAAAACAAAAAGCATCTCTATTAAACAGAGGGCAAGTTATTAATCAACTGGTTAACCCAATCATCGATAATGAAGCCAGTTTAGGGTCATATAAAATACTAATTTAAGAAATTACAGCAGCCATGTAGTGTGCATGTTTAATTACTAAGACACACACACACACAAACCAATCTTACTTAAACATCAATAGACACTTCCAAGCTGAAAGAAAAAGTTACCGGAATGTAGAAAACATTGTACCAGACTATCTTTAATATCCTTAGCAACTGTCAATTACAGAATCATCATTTATACAGAGAGAATGCTTTTTCATAATATACTGAGCCACGCTAATTATTCAGAAGCATATGGCTGTAGTAAGGCTAAATCACCTGGTACACTCACGAGTTTCCTGCATTATCTAAATGTGAGTTAATGGCTACAGTACCTTATAGTTGAGCAGCCATTAATCTGCCTGGAGACTGAAGTGGATTGACTCCAATTTCCCTTCTACTTACTACATTCTAATGAGTATGCACAGCTTGTTTAAAATAAAGCAACGGAGAGGACTATCCACCTTCATCCTGCACACAGACATTATGTGCTACCATCAGCTCCTCTCAGTTTTTGTCATCTGTTCTTGTCATTTTTCCAGGGGGAATAAATAGTCACAGTCAACACTGAATCCATTAGGTAAGCTTCCAATTTTTTGTGTCATTTTGTTCATTAAATGAAATGTTCATTAAATGAAACATTGCTTTGTCTCTTTACTGGATGCCTAAAATGGGGCCAGATGTTTAGTAATTGGAAAAATGTGAGCTTTATATTGTTCATGGTGTATATGGCAATGGTGGGGAGTGGTCTGTGCTAATTTACAAGTTTTGCAGTAAAAGCAAACTTAAAGGCATTGTACTGTGCAGTAATTGTCCTTTTCGCCATATCTATTTTCACTTCTGACCAATCTTTCACATCAACGTAAATTCAACTTCAAGTGTGATTCAATGGTAAATAATTTCAGGATGTTTGCCTATGTAGAGATCATATTCTGACATTCTTCTTTTCAAAAACATAATCTTGTTTTGTAATGTTGATATCGCAAATGAAACCCACTCTTTCAATTCACCATCTGGGAATCTATATTCCAGATGGGTACATACTTGCTCAATAAACCACAGAACAGAGCCATTATTCATTTCAGTTCCAATACAGGCAATAATTGTTTTCACTCAGGGTTAAAGTGAGCAATACAGGTAGTCCTCGACTTACAACCACAATTGAGCCCCAAATTTCTGTTGCTGAGCAAGACAATTGTTAAGTGAGTTTTGCCTCATGTTACCACCTTTCTTGTCATATTAAGTGAATCTATCTTCCCCACTGACTTTGCTTGTCAGAAGTTGCAAAAAAGGAGATCATATGACCCTGGGACACTGCAACTGTCATAAGTATGAACCAGTTGCTCAGCATCTGAATTTTAATCACATGATCATGGGATTGATGCAACAATCTTAAGTATGAAAAATGGTTGTGTCATTTTCTTTTCCAATGCCATTTTAACTTTGAACCGTCGCTAAATGAACTGTTATAAGTCGAGGAATACATGTATATGAAATAAACAGCTGTGAGGGTACACAGGTACACAACTTAAGAGAAAACAGAATCTATAATGCAGCACATGGTAACACTTATGTACCTGGCAACCTACCCAAAATTATAGCAGACAAAAAACACAGGGACAATTACATTATCATACAACATGTGCACTTAATTTCCTTATAGCAAAGAAATAAAAGACAACAACTAGTCAGGCAATATTGTATATATAACTGGTCCAGAAGTGGCAGAGACAGAATGTGTATTTGCTGCTTAGGAAAAAATGTGGTTTTCAAGTCTCCATGGATGAAGGAATCTTAAAATCAAATGGACAGCACTGGAATACTGGAGAGAGAATGTGAAACAAAACTTTGGAACGCTGAATGTTCTGCTCCGAGTTTGTAACACTTGAAGCAGAAATTCTTAGCTATGAACAATTTGAGTTCAACATGTTTTATATCAGCCTAGGAGCCTTTTCTTTACTGTAATGGGTTAAAATAGAAAGATTTCAAATCTTTTTTTCAAATCTCTATTTTTATTGTTTTAAAATGTTTTTACTATTTTAATTATATTTTTTTAATTACAGTATAAGCTGCCCAGAGCCATTGAGCCGGGCAACTATAGAAAATGAATGAATGGAATGAATGAATAGTTGACATTATGAATACTAAAGGATATAATAAATGTAAGCTATTACCTCCTCTGCTACTTAACCCTCTCATAGCCATATATAAAGCAAACACTGCAGTTTAGTTCATTATATTGCTTTTTATAAGGAGGCAAGATGATATATTACATTGTCATGGTTTGCTGAAATACTAATACTAAACTGAATAATGCAGAACATTCAGCCATAAACATAAAAATGTTTAATGTACCATAACATTAAAGTGCTATGCTATAGTAACTCAAACCATCTTATAGGTTACTGCAGTGGCTTACTGCAATGTCCAAAAACCCAATTACTGTGATGTTTTTACTACAACTTGCCTTTAAATAAAATACTCTACAAGAGGCATGTCAAACTCGCAATGTCATGTGCCGTCACGCAACATATCTGGCTGGTTTTGCCATTGCCAGCAATGGGATTGGCGCGGTTTCCACATGATGCGCCCGGCCCACGGGCCGGCAGTTTGACACCCCTGCTCTACAAGAAAGGTAACACAATTAGCTTTACATCTCAAAGGTACGTTTTCAAAAGGCAACTGGATTGTTTTTTTTTTTTTCTTTGAGAAAGACATTTCTCATCCAAGAAGCTTTCTTGGTTCTGGCAGAATGGTGGGGGCAATCGAAGGATTAGTTCTGACAAGATTGGGAGTGGGGGTGAAAAGATCGTATTTGTTTGCAATCATCTTGTTAGCTTTGAATTGCTAGCCTTATTTGTCAAATACATCAACACTTCCAAATTTTCAGCTATAATACTTAAGATGGTAGCAACATTATAATTAACATGAATAGACTTTATACTTGCCTTTAATTTACCCTTGTTGAATGCACATACTGATACTTGATAAGCTGAATGCCCTAAATCAACAAATACCACATTTCTTGGTTTTTCTTCTAATGCAGGCAGGTCTTGTTTATAGATCCCATAGGCCAGAGCAACTAGACAGAAACATACAAAAATTTCATGATCCTCTATTTAAGAATTGTTTTAATTTTTGGCTAAGAACACCATTTAAAACAGTCCACAATGGCAATCATCAACCAGATATTTATTCTAAATGCAAGCCATATCACATCTGATACCTATAACTTAGTTAGATTCCTTCAGAAATGGCATGAGACTGCTTTAGTATTATAACCTTCATTTCTCTCAGGTAGATAGACATATGGATTAGCTGTTTCAAAAATTTCAAATAAAACCAAAGTAAAACGATTGTTCTATTTATTAACGTATTTTCAATAAAGCCAAAAGTCTTCCATATGTCTGGGCATTCTGGAAATCAGTCCACAGCTATATTCATAACATAGATTAAAATTTATATGATAAATTAACTCTTTATTATAGAGAAAAAAAATCTGTTTTGACATTATAAAAAAGAATAAATCGATTAGGCAAATAACCCCTTCCAAGCAACAGCTTGGGCTAAACTTCAACGGCATAACTGCAACAGGATATCTGCAGATATTTGTGCATCTAAGAAATTCCTTTTGTTTCATCTGTTGCACAAATACTGTTGGTACTATTGATTCAAGATGCCCCACCCCATCGGTATTTTACCTATTGGTACTGTATCAGAGGGAGCTATTAATCACTGAAGTTGATTATTATTTATTATATTATATTATTTATTATATTATTTAAGCACTTGTCTCTTAATTTCTATAACCTAATTAAGAAAAACAAAGATTGAAGATAGAAGGCAAGTTTTAATAATAAAAATGCAATTAATTTTGGACTTGAATGTGCGTATATTAAAAATACATGCAGAGATTCTTTTCTAATACAATACAGTTACTGGTATAAACATCTTTTTTATTAATGTAAAGTTTGTCTTAAAAAGCTTCCTGAAAAGAGAAAATATTTCAGAAATGTTTTGTTCTTCCAAATTTCTTTTGTGAATTTCTGTACTTTCACATTTAAAAGTAATCAAAATGTAAAAATAATTAGTGTACTCATGTACAAATCTGAACCGTAACAGAAAAAAGTTTACTGAATGGAAATAAACCTTGAATTATTTCCCCTTTATTCAATATAATGAAAAAATAGTATGATTAAGACTAAAATAAAACTTAAAACTTTGATGCAAGACTTGCAAATGTATAATTCAGTATTCTTTGCAGTTATCTACCTACCTGCAGTAGTTTCATTAATTAACTTCAAGCAGTTTAATCCAGCAATCTGTGTAGCATCCATGACAGATCTCCTCTCTGCATCTGTATAAAAGCAAGGAACCTACAAGACATTTAAAAGTTCATTTTTAAAAAGAACAGTTTCAAATAAAATATTTTTAATAACTGGATTTTTAGCCACATGTATTGTATTTTACCCCAAGTTATATATACAATAGGGAAGTAAAAGTTAAATGAACCGGCTAGTAACACTGTTAACAGCTAATATTTAACAAATAAAAACATACTGTTTATTACAAGACACTAATACAAGAACTGCAAAATAATTTATGTTAAAATAGAAAATTTTAGTAAACAGAATACTTAAGTCAGCAACAATGTAAATGTAAAAAAGAAGGATGGGATTATAGACAATCCAACCTTGCCAGGCTAGAAAGGAGCCTGATGTTGGTCATACCTAACATACTTGGATAGATAAAAACAAGGTAGTTCCAGATCCTAAGTAAATGTGTTTCAGGGGACCCTCAGGTTATGACCACTTATTTAGTGATTGTTCAAATGTACAATAGCATTAAATATGGGGGTCTTAAAACCAGTCTTCAGAATTCTAGCCATTGCAGCTAGCTGTAGTAATGTGGCTACAATTTCTGTTATTCCCTGCCAGCTTCCCACAAGCAAAATCAATGGGGAAGTTGGCAGGAAGTTACAGGTTAGTCAGGTGAGGTCCTAATTTAACAACCCACATGGCCCTTGCTTAATGATAGCAATCAGGACCAGGTTACAATTATCATTGTATCTTGAAGATGCTTGTATATTGTGGTGACTAAATGTTTGACTAAGACCCTAATATTCGTAAGTTTTATAGAAACCTTTAAGTGACAGACACAATATTTACAAGACAAAATATCAATCTTTAATCATATGACTAACTACAATTACAGTCCAAATACTATATTTCCTTTATTTATCTGTAAACGAAGAATATCAGCCACCCTGTACAGCCTGAAAGACACCATGATAAACCATCATTAAGGATGCTAGACAACAAGCTGTAATCAATTTCATTCATAACCTTTAGGAAAGTTAAATTTAAAAAATATCAAAAACATACAGGTTGATTACTTACAGATACAACACAGTCAACTACAGGTTTTTTAAGAGCATTCTCTGCAGTTTCTTTTAGTTTAGTGAGAAGCATTCCTGTAATCTGCTCAACTGTGAAGTTTCGTTCTTCTTCCATATATTTAACCTTAGTTAGAAACAAAATGACATTTTAATCTGTAATTTTCCAGAATAATATTCCCCATTAAACCTTTAACAATAGGTTTAATGTATAAATACCGTATATTTCTCCTTTTTCTTCACAAATAAGCACAAAAGAGCAATCAACAGTATGCTTTATTTTTCATATATTTAAGAGAATAAATTCTAATCATACTTATTTTATCTCAAAGAATGCATCTCAGTCAACCTCAAAAGATAACTTTACTTGGAACAGCTTGCATCCTGCATTGTTTAACTTTAATATTAATAAACAACATCTGCCTATCTCAAGTCCTTGGGAAGGACTTGATAAGTGGACAAAAACCCAGTCTAAACATATGGCTAACTGTTTGACAACAATAATTTATAAGCCACCCAACTCCCATCTCTTTAAGGAAGACTGTAGCAGTTGAATTCTTAAGATTTGAATAATATCTGTATTTCTCTGCTTTTATTTTTTTTTTTCTCTTCTGCCAAATAGCCAAACAGTACTCTAACTTTGTAAATAGTATGTGCACATTCAAGGTCATACCTTAATGCCAACAGAAAGTGAGGGCAGCTGGACAAGCTCATAAGCAAGTTTAGCTTTTTCATCATGAACAAAAGGATCCGAAAACGCACGACCATGAAATCTTTTAAAACCTTGCACTGTATTCTTTGCATTTGAAATTACCTAGAAGGGAACAGACTTTAGCCTCATGTAACAGAACATTAATATTTTTATAGTAAGCTGTAGAAAGACTTTGAAGAAAAAATATAAGAATGCTTTTATAGAATCTCATAATTTTTTTCATGGTACCGTATATGTCAGCGTACAAGGCGACCCGGCCTATAAGACGACCCCCGTCTTTGTCGCCGAGCCGCATTCCTAGAACGTCGTCTTATACGCCAGAAACTACCAGTATTTCCGGCATATAAGACGACTCGGCGTGTAAGACGACCCCTGTCTTTGGCGCCGATTTTAGCGCTTGCGGAAGTCGCCTTATACGCCAGCATATACGGTATATAAACTTACACATTTTTCTTGTAAGATATCAAAGTATGCTACACAATACAGTCAGAAAAACAACCGTAAGATATTGAACACATATCGGAAATAGCACATTCAAAATAATACTTCCATATTTTATACTGAGGATTTGTTCTTCAGGAACTTTACTCAACCGACAAGTAGTCCTAGATTTACAGCAACATTGAGACCAAACTTTCCAGTGCTAAGCAAGACAGTTTTTGGGTCATACCTGATTTTATGACCTTTTTGCCACGTTGTTAACCAAATCACTGCAATTGTTAAATGAATCATATCCGGATTCCCCCAATTACTTTATTTGTCAAAAGCCAGCTAGTGATCACATGACCTCAGGATGCTATAACCATTGTAAATATATACCAGTTGCCAATCACCTGAATTCTGATCACGTGATCATGGGGATGTTGTGATGGTTGCATGAGGATTGGTCATAAAAGTCATTTTTTTCCACTGCAATTATAACTTTGAATGGTCACTAAATAAATAGTTGTAAGTTGAAGACTACCCATATATGCAAATGAAGTTAGAAGAAATTTAGTCATCTAAATTGTGCAACAATTGCACAAGAAAATTAGGTAATAGGATTCCCTTCAACAATACCAGCTCCATCTGAAAGTGGCACCCTAATTTTCTTGCTATGACTAATTCACTAACTCAACTACAAGCAAACTTTTCAATGCATTGCTTTTTGGTAGGACTGATTGAATCTTAATGAAATAAAAACTAGTGATGGTATTAAATATTTCTTTGGTTAAGTCTTAATAAAGCAAATACAATCAACATATTTTCAAGTCAGAATTTAAGGTGGAAGGATATTGTGGATGATTAAGATTATGACATAGTGCAAGATCTTCATCTAGAAGATAAAAAATTAATTACAATTTCCTTTATATTTTAAGGCCATGTAAAGATTAAACAATTTTTTGTTATGTTCTATTAGTTAACAACCATCTGATCTGAGTGTTGCAAGTCAAGCCTCTCATAAATCACATATTATAATGTAGACCATGTCATTATTTCCATTTTAAAATATTACGATCCTAACAAAGAAAATGAAATATAGCTGCAATAATTTGCACTTTTTCTGTTTTAACATATAAACCGAGTTAACATTTGATTGCTCCAGGCACCTACAAGGCATCCAATACATCTGAATATAGTATCTATACGAAAAAACAAAGATTTCCTCAAGTTGAGCTCAGCTCCTGGTATCCTTACGATTTTGGGCGCAGTTTTATAGAAGTTATTTTCTACTACCTTTGTGGAGGATAGTTTATCAAATTTCCACTCAAGTCTATATCCTTGAAATTTCATGAAGTCCCCTTAAATACTCACTGCAACTGACCCTATTCAACAAATCAACCATAATTGGCTAAAGCACAATAGTCTTCTAATAGTGTTCAAATTTAAAAGCAAAAGATAGTTATCATTCATAATCATAACTAAATCAAGCCACTTCTGAACTTATGCAAGAACCATAAAATAAAGGACATATCGTAATAAGAGGGGTATTACAACACCCTTGTAATTTTCTGTTGAAACAATTCAGCTCTGGACTATCTCTTCATCCCCATAGAATGGGCCAATAGAAATTTTAAGGTGTGGTTTGTATTTTTCTAGAAATCTTTTATCCAGAATCAGGAATGGAATTTTTGAGTTTATACTTTTGCCCTATTTTAGCAATTAAATCCCTCCTTAAATTCAATTGCTGAGAACAGTGAAACAATCAAAATAGGAAAGAAATACACAAGAGAGACATATTGGCATTAGTTTACTCCACTATAAAAATTTCCCATTTGGATTCCACTATAAATATTTCCCACTTGGATTCCACTTCAACATTCACTGAGTTAGGATAATTTTTATAGGATAAGTAAACTAGGTATAGAAAACAAAAATGTTTCAACAAGTCAAGTTCATTAAGCCTGAAAACAAAATATTTAACGTAACTGTTTTAACACAAAAAATTGATATGATTCAGTGTTTTCATATTTTTCTAGCAATTATAGAATTACAAAAAAAAATAGATATAAAAGCTTTACCTGGCTCTTCGCTGCAGCTCCGATTGAACGGTTCTTGGGTCCAAATGATATACATGACCTAATATAAAATTTAACAATAGTTTTAAAAATTAGATCAGAATACTTCAGTTTAATATAGTTTCAATGTGTAAGTTTAAATAATATGAAACTTAATAATGATGTGCACTCAATGAATCTATTATTAAAATCTATTTTTAATGAGAACAAATTTCCTAAGAGGTTTGTTGTGTCATCTTGTTGTGGGGAAAATAGAAGGAAAGGAGTATTACGTATGTTCCCTGCCTTGAGTTACTTATAAAGTACGAAAAGTGGGATATAAAGCTAATAAATAAACAAACCTTGGTAAATTAAAATTGCTTCTATTGAAACAACCATTTATAGTTATCCATTCAACACAATCCACCTACTGTAATTTTCTCCAACAAGTTAGCTTTCCTTGTGGATGAGCTTTTTTATAGATAAATTTATAGGCAAATGATTTTAGGATTATTATTCATAATGTTACAGACTTGGATTTAAGTTTTTGTTTTTGTTTTTGTTCCTGCAACAGAACAAATTCCTAGTAAATCTTTTCCCAAGTGTCTCCTATTTTTAAGAAACAGATTTTCAGGGAGCCTGAAGAGACAACATACCGTATATGCCAGCATATAAGGCGACTTCCGCAAGCGCTAAAATCGGCGCCAAACACGGGGGTCGTCTTATATGCTGAGTCGTCTTATACGTCGGAAATACTGGTAGTTTCTGGCGTATAAGACGACGTTCTAGGAATGCGGCTCGGCGACAAAGACTGGGGTCGTCTTATAGGCCGGGTCGCCTTGTACGCCAGCATATACGGTATATACTATTTTGTCTTTTCAGAGTCATCTTCAGAGTCACCTTGAACAAAGAGATAGCAGATAAAATGTGCTAGTAATAATAATCCTTGGGACAGATTTGATAGACAAAAATGCCAAATCCAGTCTAAACATTTGGTTGACTGTGCGACACTATAATATCAATAGTTAGGAAAGCTCTGTGTCTGATTAAGAGAAGTTGGTATACTTGCTATTTCATTCCACAGAAGACATGTGTTATGGAATTCACTCAAAAACTGAAAACCCCAAACATACCCCATGAAAAATGTATACAAATGGAACTTTACTGAAAAAAGATGCCTGTTTTATTGCTGTACTCACCTCTTACAAATTATACAGACAGAAGCATATACATATTATGGTCGACTTATGACCATAATTGAGCCCAAATTTTTTGTTGCTAAGTGAAACATTTGTTAAGTGAATTTTGCCCCATTTTACAACTTTTCTTGCCATAGTTGTTAAATGAATCACTACAGTTGTTAAGTTAGTGACACAGTTAAGTGTATCTGAATTCCCTATTGACTTTATTTGTCAGAAGGTCGCAGAAGCTTATCACATGACCCCAAGGCACTCCAACTGTCAAAAACATGAGTCAGCGGCCAAGCATCTGAATTCTGATCACATGACCACTTGGATACTGCAATGGTTGTCATTGTAACTTTGAACGGTCACTAGATGAACTGTTGTAAGTTGAGGACTATCTGTACAGAATAAAGCAGTATGTAGTACTGCCCAAACTCATATTGCCTGACACTGAAAAATAATTTATTTATCCTGCCTTTATAAGTAATTCAACATGATGAACATATGTACTCCTTTCTCTTCCTATTTTTCCCAGAACAACCACCTTGTGAAGTGGGTTGGGCTGAAAGAGACTGACTGACCCAAAGTCACCCAGCTAGCTTTCTAGTGGGACTAGAATTCAGTCTCCTGGTTTCTAGACCAGCACTTTAACCACTACACCAAATGGTTCTTACATATATTTCTCAGCAATATATTCTACATATATTTCTCAGCAATATATTCTACATATATTTCTCAGCAATATATTCTACACTATCAAATTTTAAATCCTCTTCTTTCCAAATCTGCTAATACCAGCCAGGAATCTAAACTGTACTACTGTAATGTGTCTTTTAACAAAACGTATGGCGTAAGACCACTGAAACAAATGAACTGATATATTCAAAGAATCAAGAAACATAAAAGTAAACTTCTTCATTTTTAGGACATACATTTTTTTCTTAGGAAAATTTTGCAATATAATTGGTCTTGGAAATGAACAAGTTCAATTTATAAAAAAAAATACACATTGAACATGATACAGCAAGAAAGAGAAAGATGCACAGATGAAAATAAGGACATAAGTAAGGATGAAGGACCTGCATGAGCATGTTTAATAGATTAAACTTAGAAAAATCAGAAATGTAAATACTGCGCAGCTATAACAGAGAGTTTACAAAATGGAAAATTTATATGAAAACTATGTAGAGAATACAGAATTTAAAAGAAATCCAATATGCAATATTTATCTTTTCTAAAATCCAGATTTTACAATGATCCTATTTTCAAGATTTTTTTAATATAAAATATAGTATAAAAATTCCCACACCAAAATACTAGATCACAGAGATCTCTAATGTGTTTAAAAGGGGTTTCTAACATCTTCAAAGAAAGTGGAAGCAGCATCAGATGACAAGCCAACTAAGTGGATAGCTAGAATACATTATGGCTGCTTCCATTAACCTGCCTGAATTACTTTTCTTGGTGTAATCAAAGTTTTTACAGCAGAATTCTGGCTTTCTGTATGTTGCTGCACTACAACTTGTATCACTCCAACTGGGCATGCTGGTTGGACTGATTAAGAATTAGGGGCATCAAATGTTCCCCACTACTACACTGAGTGATACACTTAAGACAGTAGCAAACCTGATCTCAGAAACACTGCTAACAAGTTTCTCACTGAATAGTTACCATCTGATATATCGCACAAATCACACTAAACTAAAATTACAAATAACCTTTTCCCAGGAAAGCAGTTAGTTGCGAGATAATTTAGGTACAATAATGGAATCCAACATCCTGTTCAGCATAGAAACAAACACATCCAGTAAAGAAAAAGCCCACCACCTTGTTATTGATTCTACTGTCAACCACTCCACTGTAAACTTAAAAATAACATTCAATTACCATCTTCTTTCTTGTAACAGTAATACAATTATGCTTTGTCTGTCATAGCCTTTTTTTTGTATGACCCCCCTTCAAATATAAGAGAACCGCTTTCATATTCCTTCTCAACTTTTTCTTCAAACATAAAGATACCAAGTTCCCAGTCTTGCACTTCTTGGGATCTCTTCCAATTTATGTTCTTCTTAAAGTAGTGTGTTTGTTTAAATAAAATAAAATAGAATGGAGTTTTTCATTTCATTCAAGATCATAAAAAAGTGGAAGGAAAAGAGCAGCCTTGGAAAGAAAATACCAAAATGCAACAACTATTGGCAGAACCAAGAAGCACACAAAAATCGTGAGTTAAAATTGTATTAAAATATCAAATTATAATGATGGATTGGGGGGAAAGCGACATTTTGTTGGTGCTAGTATTAAACAATGAATACATTTTACAACATTACTGCTATTCAAAGTCCAATCCTCTGCTCACCATATTTCTTTATCAGGGTATGCATTTTTCTGTTGCACTGCATATATTTTACAAGTTGACTTATCTGCCTGTACAGGGCATATCTTTAAAATAGTTCTACACAGGATCTTTCTAGAACAGTTTTGAGATTACACTAGAGGAAGCAAACTGATAAATCTCCTAAATTCTCCTCAAACGGAATGAAATTTAACACCTTCTGAAGGACGCCTATTTTCAATTTTGTGAACAAATACTGCCTTCTCTCTGCCCAACCGATCAAATGCAAAATTAAATAAAATAAAGCTTAACGAGTCGTGACGGTATATATTAATTATATAAGTTCCTGGGTGGATTAGCTTATTTTCAACAATTCCGCTGTCGGTTAGCTCTTTCAAATCATAGCGCTCATCATCCACCTCGAGGCATGCCGCAGTTTTAGGAAGGCAGCTTCAGAAACGTTTAAACGCGGTTACTTTCACCTTCCCCTAAGCTCGCCTGGACGGTGCTGAACCCATTCATTCCCTTACCTTTCTCCAGGGGTGCCTACCCTACCTACATGTGGGCCGGAGGGGAGAGAAGGAGGAGAAAAGTATTCCTCCTAGGCGCAGCACCTTGCGTTACTCATGAATTAATAAGGGCGCACATTTTTTCCCCTTCCCTCTGCTTTGAAAACCAAAAGGTGTGGCCGCTCCGTGTGGTAATCACCTTTTACTCTTCCAATTCTAGCCAAATGGTAAGAGCTTAAGGGAGATGCGACGTTTTCTAGGCCACCCGTGCTCGGGGTGACAAGTTTGCGGGGCTACTGGCCCTCCGCAGCCTTTCCCCGCCGCCACCGACCCCCCCCCCAATGCCGCGGAGTTTTCGCCTTTCATTTTATCCCGGCTTTCCGCCGCGCCGGATTAATTTACTCACGGGGTGCAGCGGTCGCTATACTCGTTGGCGATCGTTTCGATGCCCCCCGCGCGGGCCACCGCCACATAGCAGCTCTGGAAGCCCAGATCGATTCCCACCACGGACATGGTGCCTTCGGGGGCGAGGGAGAGAAACGCCGGAGAGAGGCCCGAGAGGCCTACTTAAAAAAGAAGAGCGCACGGGGCCGGTTGCCGGGCAGGCGAAGAAAGCAGAGCCGAGAAGATGCTGACCGGCGCCGCCTGAGGGGGAAATCCGTCCGCCGCAGTAGCCTCCGCAGTTCACCCGGAGCGACCGCTCCGACTGTTTAAATGGGCTGCCGCAGCACGCGACTCCGGCTGCCTCCTCGCGAGGGGGAAGGGACGGGCGAAGCGGCAGCACAGAGAGATCTCGAAGAATCCTGACCCGTCTAAAGGAAGGAGGCGGGTGATACTCTCGCGAGATTCCAACCGCGATGCGGGAGCCCCCTCCCTTTCGCTCTGGAGAGCGCGCACGAGCTGTAACCTCGCGACGGTGTCCCCGCCTGGAGCGTAGGGGAAACGGGTATGAGAAACGGGAAGGAAGACGGCGTGTCGGGGTGGAAGATATTGACTTGCACCAAGAACTGCTCTAAAGCGCATGCTCGGATCGTTGCAATTTCAGATCTGAGGCTTTTCACCGCTTTTTCCGATGGCGCACCAGGAACAAGTCCGGACAACTTTTCTGCCATGCCCTCATGACAGTGTTTTGATTTGATCTCCAAAACATGTACTGAATGAAGCAAGCAACAACCCGCAGCAGTTTTCCTTTTGTGCAATTTGACACAGTCCATCAACCTCAGTCTGTTGGTATTAGAGTCAAGTAAAACTCTCCCTCCCCCCCATCCCTGCCCTATTCACTACTTTAGGCTGGGGCAAGTGTATCCCCACTTTTTATGTTTGTGAGTTGTTTTCCAGGGCCCTTTTGCTTTCGAGTTTAGACAACAGGAAAGTCTCCTTCAAACCTGGCTCCATCTTCCAAGTTCGGAGACCTGAATCAACCTGAACCAGCATACTGGCAGAGGACTCCACACTGATATAGGAGAGAACCATTTCTTTCTCTGCTGCTGCTTCATTATGCAACTTACCTAGCTACTGTCAGTTGTTCGGATTTTTTGAAGGTGGATGTAGCAATCATCTGAATAAAGTTAAACCAGTGTCAAAAAGGGAGTCCCAACAGTTTTGCTACAAGAGTTCTGTACGGGTGCTATTCCAGAATCAGACTATCTTGGACAAACGTGTCAGGATTAGTAGTGCTAGACCCCTGTCAAACAGAGTCTCATCATCAGCTTTGGGCATGTACAAATAATCTGTGCCAAACCAGAGTGGGTTTTAATAAATGGATAAGGTTGCTAGTCCAGCAATCTGTAAAAAAACGTAGATTCAACTCTATTCCACCTCAGAGTATTTAATATATATTTTCCTGCCAACTGGTGAAGTTTGGTGGAAGGGGAAGGAAACAACGCCATGGGAATTCCACCAGGCGTGTCCTTAACATGCCCTGTACAAAGTACGCATCATGCCTGCAGCAGAGAGGTTCACAAGGGGCAGCATTTTATTTTGTTAAGATTTTCTGCAGCCTCAAGGACTGGTAGATGGCACTATGACTCTGCCATGAGGAAGAACCCCATGAAATGTATACAGATTAGGGTTAAGCACCCAATTGTCACTTTAGCTTAATTTCTACCTCTTCTGACCAGACTGTGAGAATGTAACTGCGCACACCGATTGGAAGGAAAAGAGGTTATTGATATATTTTTCTACACACACACACATACTTAACACCATCAGCACTATAGCATTTCAGGAAACTTGTACATAATCGTATTGTGTTCTTAATTATGAAATAAATTATGCACTAAGGCAGACATGTCAACGTGACATCGCGCAACATATCAGGCCGGTTTTGCCATTGCCGGCAATGGGGTGGGCGTGGCTTCCAGATGACGCATCCAACCGGCGGGCCGGCAGTTTGACACTCCTCCAAGGTGATTCTAAAGGCAATGGCAATTTATACTGCTGATTGGTCCAGTACATCTTACAGTATATCTTTCCAATTCAAAAGAATTTAAAAGAGGGAAATATTAATATAATCCTACAACTAGCTCTTGTCTGAGAAAATTGTTCTGATCTTCCAATACATTTATACACGAAGGATTGTTTTTACCATTTAATATAGACTAAAATTTAAGAAAGTTTCCAAATTTTGCTGCCAAACTGCGATTTCAAGTCCCACAAAAAACATAATATATAATAAAGTGACAATATTTTGAATGACAGTATCCTGCATTATATAGCAAATGATTAAGTCAAATATTTGCTTTGAATGATGAAGAATTTGTATATTTCCTCTTCAGCATAATTACAAATAGCTAAGCTAAAGAGAAATGTAAAATTTTTATGTATATCTAGAAGAAACAACAATACACTACATCTATGTTTTCCCAGTACCATATTGTTGATGTTATCACTCATAACTTACCACAGGACTGTATCCAATTCAACATATGGCCATATAATAATAAATTCTAGAAGCAACACAGTCCAAGTCAATGGTATAGAGGCCACATCATGAAATTTGGATGCACCATGAAGCCTTTAAGAAAACTATTTTGTGGTAATTAATTCAACTTTAAGGTAATCCATTACTTACAACCATTTGTTTAATGATCATTTGAAATTACAATAGCACTAAAAAAATTCTTGTATTTGCGACCATCACAGTATTAGAACACAAAATTAGAATACTTGGCAACTGGGATATGATAGTTGCAGTGTCCCAGAGTCATGGGGTTGAGAAGCCAAATTTGCATAACAAATGTGTGATTCACTTAACTGCAGTGATTTGCTTAGCAACCATGGCACAAAAGGTCATAAAAATTAGGCATGACTCACTTTACAACTTAGCAATGGAATTTCTGATCCCAGTTGTGATCTTAACTCAAGGACTACCTATACTGGAAATTAGTTAGGGTTTTTTTTTAAATCTAACAATGGACAAGCTGCCATAGCTCTTTATTTTGATTCTGTTGCAATAAACTAAGAAGTGATTGTTTTAAGAGATTGTGAAGCAAGAATGAGGTGGTAAGTTTCTGCCAATGGAAAACCACCTTCCTCTACACTAGAAGGTTTATGATTTTTGCTACAATGCATCTGAGGGAAAAGTCAATTAATTCAACTGCCCAAGGAGTGGCTATGTGGGAATAGGAATCCACATTTACTATTGGTTGCTGCAACTGGAAGTCAGCATTCTGAACTCCTAAACAGTTGTAACTATGTTTGATGTGTAGAATTATAAGCTCGGGATATTATTAACTCTTCCTTCCATTCACCTTATTTTGTACAACACCATATCCAATAGAATTTTTTTTAAATAGGAATATATATTCCTATTATATATATATGTATGTATGTATGTATATGTGTATGTAGGTCTTTGGTTGTTCGGGTTTTCTCATGTATGGATTGAAGCAAACTGACACCCTCCATGAAAATGAGGCACGACCACAAACGCGAAGCCAAAAAATAGCAAGGCAGCCCAAAATCTTAAACCCCTCTGCAACTCAGACTAACCTGAGCACAACCAAACAGAACACTCCCCCAGCCAATCAGAGCACAGCCAACCCCCAGCCAATCAGAGCACAGCCAACCCCCCAGCCAATCAGAGCACAGCCACGCCCCTAACCAATCATAACACACCTCCACCCAATCAGAACACAGCCAAGCTCCCACCCAATCAGTTCATACCCCCACTGGCAGTTAAAAGGAAGAAACAGCTAAGACCACACATTGCTGCTCGAAGCACGAAGCTGAAAACACCATCCTGAAGATGACGAATGGGACTTCGTCGAAACGTCGCCAAGACACTTCCAATTTTACGCGGGAGAAAACCCGAACAACCAAAGACCTACATACAAACACCCGCGAAAACCTCAGAAAACATATATGTGTATATATACATACATACATATCGAGAAATAAAATGAACACCAGGGTAGTAAAACTATAAAAGTTTAATTAAAAAGCGCCAAGCTTTCGCCGTCCCTGCCGGCATCATCAGGGCTAGAGCGCCAGAAAGTGTGAGAGTTTTTTATAGGCAAGTCAGAGTCTGCGCCCGGCTCCTCGATCTCGTCACCGGGCCTAATTGATTCAACTGTGCTTGATTGGTTTGTTTCTTCCTATTCCTCTTAGTTACGTGTATGTTGTCGTCTCTCCTCCTTTCCTTCGATTCTGGGATGGGTGGGATAGTTACTACCCTGGTGTTCATTTTATTTCTCGATATGAATACTCCCAGGGTTCATATTTTTAGCATTATTATACATATATATATATATATATATATATATATATATATATATGAGAACCCAGATTGTTGGGGGCAATGTAAATATATATATACATTGCTTACTGGTGTACACCGCTTAGAGAGTGCTTGCACTTAAAGCGGTATATAAGTCATATATATATATATATATGCATGTTCTGCCTTTTGTTAAATACCTTTTTATGTCTACATATTCTGCTTTGTTGATTGTGATCATAATAAAAGCTACAGCTAATATTAATCCCATGCAATTCTGATGTCACTGTGCATAATCTAAACATGTCATGTAGCACATTGCTCATTCTCTATTCTGGGACCTTCATGCACATATGGTACTCAGGAATATCATGTTTCTCAGATGCCAAATTCAAATTATGCAGCAGATAATATTACATGGTTCCTAGAACCCTGTTGAATTAAACTTTATATTGAGCTATTAGCTCACAGTTACAATATTAAGACTTTTTCAGCTATTCCATTTTTTTCCAGAAATGATTTCCATATTATAAATATAATGGTTATGTAACTTAGTTACTTTTAAAAAAATTATTTTTAACCAACAAGACAAAACAGAACAAAGCAAAACATAACACACATACACACACAATATATACTCCTCCTTTTTTTTACAGCAATTACGTAACGGTAATCTAATATTTACATTTCCCCCTTATTCTTCTTTAAATATTTATCCTTATAGCCCCATTATTTCTTATTTACATTTTTCTTCCTTCATGTTCTACTTCTTACTAAGAATAATTCATATTATTATTATTATACATTATTGTACACATATTTTCACTTTTGACCTTTCCATATTTATTCTCCTCTATTATTTCTAGTCTCCAACCAGACATACACCTTGTTCCATACTATATAATACTCTGTTCAAATCTATTATACCATTAGTCCAAGAGGTCAGTGATAATGAATCTTTTGGGCTCAATGTGTCAAAAAATTCAGAAAATGCCTAATTTGAGTCTTCTGGCATGTCATACATACCCCCCCCCAACAAAAGTGGAACAATTCTTTACATATTCATTTACTTTTAAAAAATATATAGCCCAATCGTGTGTGTGATCCCTGGGATCTGCCCCATGCCAC